AGTTGAGTCTATTCCTTGAAACATTGAACCGCTGTAGTTCACAACAATTCTAATTTCTAAAGTGGAAGTTGGGAAAGTTTTTATTCGGGTGGTTCAGTGAAACAATTATAGTTTCTGAGGTGGAAGTTGGGTGAGTTATATTTGGGAGTTTTGGTGAGGGAGGCCCTACTCTCTCCTTTCCCAGATGTTTAGTTCATTTCATTCCGATCTCCTCTGCATTATTGTAGCCATTTGCTACAGCCTGTCAACTATGCCTCTGCCTATCCCTGTTCTCTCCTCTCCGCACAGGCTACACAAACGCCTCACACTGCGTGGCTGCTGCCTCTCTAACCTGGTGGTCCCTGCACGCACCCCACACCTGGAGTTCCAGGTCTCAGGCAGCCTCTGGAACTGCCGTTCTGCTGCCAACAAGGCTGACTTCATCCCAGCCTATGCTACCCTCCAGTCCCTCGACTTCCTGGCGCTGACGGAAACATGGATTACCACTGAAAACACCGCTACTCCTACTGCTCTCTCCTCGTCTGACCATGTGTTCTCGCATACCCCGAGAGCATCTGGTCAGAGGGGTGGTGGCACAGGAATCCTCATCTCTCCCAAGTGGACATTCTCCATTTTTCCCCTAACCCATCTGTCTATCTCCTCATTTGAATTCCATGCTGTCACAGTCACTAGCCCATTTAAGCTTAATATCCTTGTCATCTATCGCCCTCCAGGTTCCCTTGGAGAGTTCATCAATGAGCTTGACGCCTTGATAAGTTCCTTTCCTGAGGATGGCTCACCCCTCACAGTTTTGGGGAATTTCAACCTCCCTACGTCTACATTTGACTCATTTTTCTCTGCCTCCTTCTTTCCACTCCTCTCCTCTTTTGACCTCACCCTCTCACCGTCCCCCCCTACTCACAAGGCAGGCAATACGCTTGACCTCATCTTTACTAGATGCTGCTCTTCTACTAATCTCACTGCAACTCCCCTCCATGTCTCCGACCACTACTTTGTATCCTTTTCTCTCTCGCTCTCCTCCAACACTACTCACTCTGCCCCTACACAGATGGTAATGCGCCGCCGCAACCTTCGCTCTCTCTCCCACTACTCTCTCCTCTTCCCTCTGCTCAATCCTTCTCCCTCCAATCTCCTGATTCTGCCTCCTCAACCCTCCTCTCCTCCCTTTCTGCATCCTTTGACTCTCTGTGTCCCCTATCCTCCCGGCCGGCTCGGTCCTCCCCTCCAGCTCCGTGGCTTGATGACTCATTGCGAGCTCACAGAACAGAGCTCCGGGCAGCGGAGCGGAAATGGAAGAAAACTAAACTCCCTGCCGACCTGGCATCTTTTCACTCCCTCCTCTCTACATTTTCTTCATCTGTTTCTGCTGCTAAGGCCACTTTCTACCACTCTAAATTCCAAGCATCTGCCTCTAACCCTAGGAAGCTCTTTGCCACATTCTCCTCCCTGCTGAATCCTCCCCCCCCCCCCCCCCCTCTCTCTCTGTGGATGACTTCGTCAACCACTTTGAAAAGAAGGTTGACGACATCCGATCCTCGTTTGTTAAGTCTAATGACACTGCTGGTCCTGCTCACACTGCCCTACCCTATGCTTTGACTTCTTTCTCCCCTCTCTCTCCAGATAAAATCCTGCGACTTGTGACTGCAGGCCGCCCAACAACCTGCCCGCTTGACCCCATCCCCTCCTCTCTTCTCCAGACCATCTCCGGTGACCTTCTCCCCTACCTCACCTCGCTGATCAACTCATCCTTGACCGCTGGCTATGTTCCTTCCGTCTTCAAGAGAGCGAGAGTTGCACCCCTTCTCAAAAAACCAACACTCGATCCCACTGATGTCAACAACTACAGACCAGTATCCCTTCTTTCTTTTCTTTCCAAAACTATTGAGCGTGCCGTCTTTAGCCAACTCTCTTGCTATCTCTCTCAGAATGACCTTCTTGATCCAAACCAGTCAGGTTTCAGGACTGGTCATTCAACTGAGACTGCTCTTCTCTGTGTCACGGAGGCTCTCCGCACTGCTAAAGCTAACTCTCTCTCCTCTGCTCTTGTCCTTCTAGACCTGTCTGCTGCCTTTGATACTGTGAACCATCAGATCCTCCTCTCCACCCTCTCCGAGCTGGGCATCTCCGGCGCGGCTCACTCCTGGATTGCGTCCTACCTGACCGGTCGCTCCTACCAAGTGGCGTGGCGAGAAGCTGTCTCCGCACCACGTGCTCTCACCACTGGTGTCCCCCAGGGCTCAGTTCTAGGCCCTCTCCTATTCTCCCTATACACCAAGTCACTTGGCTCTGTCATATCCTCACATGGCCTCTCCTATCATTGCTACGCTGACGATACACAACTAATCTTCTCCTTTCCCCCTTCTGATAACCAGGTGGCGAATCGCATCTCTGCATGTCTGGCAGACATATCAGTATGGATGACGGATCACCACCTCAAGCTGAACCTTGGCAAGACGGAGCTGCTCTTCCTCCCGGGGAAGGACTGCCCGTTCCATGATCTCGCCATCACGGTTGACAACTCCGTTGTGTCCTCCTCCCAGAGTGCGAAGAGCCTTGGCGTGACCCTGGACAACACCCTGTCGTTCTCCGCTAACATCAAGGCGGTGACCCGATCCTGCAGGTTCATGCTCTACAACATTCGGAGAGTACGACCTTGCCTTACACAGGAAGCGGCACAGGTCCTAATCCAGGCACTTGTCATCTCCCGTCTGGATTACTGCAACTCGCTGTTGGCTGGGCTCCCTGCCTGTGCCATTAAACCCCTACAACTCATCCAGAATGCCGCAGCCCGTCTGGTGTTCAACCTTCCCAAGTTCTCTCACGTCACCCCGCTCCTCCGCACACTCCACTGGCTTCCAGTTGAAGCTCGCATCTGTTACAAGACCATGGTGCTTGCCTATGGAGCTGTGAGGGGATCGGCACCTCTGTACCTTCAGGCTCTGATCAGTCCCTACACCCAAACGAGGGCATTGCGTTCATCCACCTCTGGCCTGCTGGCTCCCCTTCCTCTGCAGAAGCATAGTTCCCGCTCAGCCCAGTCAAAACTGTTCGCTGCTCTGGCACCCCAATGGTGGAACAAGCTCCCTCACGACGCCAGGGCAGCGGAGTCACTCACCACCTTCCGGAGACATTTGAAACCCCACCTCTTTAAGGAATACCTGGGATAGGATAAAGTAATCCTTCTATCCTCCACCCCCCCCCCCCCCCCCCCCCCTAAAAAAAAAAAAAAAAAAACATATTGTAAAGTGGTTATCCCACTGGCTATAGGGTGAATGCACCAATTTGTAAGTCGCTCTGGATAAGAGCGTCTGCTAAATGACGTAAATGTAAATGTAATTTTTATTGAAATAATGTAGAATTCCATTCATTCCTATGGAGGACTGCTCCTACTGGGAGTGCCAATATGGCCGACCGGAGGCTTCAAAGCCTTTCAATGGCCAATACATAGCATCAGCAATCCAGAATTTAGATACAGTACATCATTGGTACTATGACGGTGGATATTGCTTGTCCGCCTAACTAGCAGGCTTGTAACTGCATGCATGTCGCACATGGCTAGTTGTACGCCGAACTCTTCATTGAGACAATGCTGAAACAATCCATGGGTGAGTCAGTGCCACGTTTTCATTTGTGCCAAAATCTAAATAAAATAAAAATAAAAAATCTTGCAAATTCAGCAGGCTATGGTGTGAAATAGGCTTTTAGAAGTCCCGTCTTTAATTTATGACTTATTGTTAATGCCATCTTTGGTGTGCTTTGGTGTGCTTATCAATGCACAAGCACCTTTTTCTCCACTCCTATCGCTCATTTTTCTATCTGTGGAACAGCTTTCAGCTTGTTGCATTGTGGCCATAGACATATAATCCATAGAAGGGTTTTGGAATGTTTCCGAGTTCCGACTAGCACATGAATGCGGCGATAGCCCTGAGTTAGCCTGCCCCGGAGCAGGTTAGTTCTGAAGGATTCGTTGCCATAGAAATGTACCTGGCTAAAAGGTGAGCCACTTTCGTGGTACCAGTTTTCCCGAGTTGAACTCAGAGTTGACCAAAGTTACCTCGCTAACTCCTCAAACCTGATTTGTAGTATAGGGCTCTGATGAAATTCTGAATTGTGATAGTGTCCACAAAGTGGCATTGTTACATGTTGTCTGGCTCTGGTACTCCCTCTCCCTGTACCCCTTGCGACCAGACTGACCTCACTGCCACAGAGGAACTGGGAGGTCATGTCAGGGGCGAGCAGTGAATAATCAACATCACGATACCTAACAAGTGCCCTTAGACCATCCACCTACTGTTTCACAACTCCTGTGTTATACAAGTGTCCCCTGGGCCCCAACCTGTACTGTATTGTAGTTAGAGCTGCATTATGTTATAATTCCGTGTTACAGGTTTTGGTTTTTCCATTTGTTTTGAGGTGGGACTTTAGCGCGTCTAGCACATTAGCACGTATGACGCACCGATTGGTGTCACCTCGTTAGTCAGAATGTGTTACACCTGTGCTGGTTGCCATCTCATTAGTGGGAAGGTGTGTCACCTGTGCTGGTCCAGTTGCTATTTAAGAGTGGCTGGTCCAGTGCTCCAGTTGTCTTGAGAGATGGAGGGTTAACACCTTTAGTTGGCGCTCCCTATTTTGATTTCTAGACAAACTATCCTTTATCTGATCTTCCCTGTTTTCAATTTGCTCCACTTTTTGGTTTGCTTCCTGTCTTTAAGTTTGTTTGCCTCTTCTTGGGCAAATTTGGTGGGCGTCTTTTAGGTCCCAGTTGTTGTTGCTAGTCGACTTTAAGTGAACACCCCCATGAGTGTCTTTACGAACCCCTCCTAAAACCCCACCTGTTTCCTTTTGGTTGTCAGTGACTCTTTGTTGGTTCCTCTTTCTGTTTGAATGACAATGTATGGTTTCTTGCTGGGGAACGTAACATTCTGCATTAAATACATTGAGCTGATCTTGTTTATACTGTAACAGAGTTAGTGAATGATAAATTGAACTCAGAAGAATAGTACAGAGCAGTGCAAAATTCTTTATGTTGAGTGAAATCACATCACAGTCAAGTCTTTTTCATTAACATTCGAGCATTGGCAGTAATACTTTCCTTAACATATTGGACAATATCAAGCTATTTAAATTTCAGGACAGGTATGTGGAACTACTGATATGCTGTACATAAAATGGGAGGTAAATAACAGAAGCAGGATAGACTCCTTAGCTATTACATCTGTATGATTTGTTCATTTGCCTTATCTGTAAGTCTGTATTGGGGGTTGAAATATTTGTCTGGATTCTTTTAATTCAAATGTTTAAAATAGGTAAAGCAATTGTGGCATGAAGCAAACAGAGACTTTACATCACTTTTGAAACACTGTAGTATTGCAAAACAAGCCCCTTTTGAATAAACATAAACCATGTGGATAGGAAAGATATGATAATTTGAAGATGAAATCAAAGTAAGGTTGAGAATGAATACTTGAGTGTGACCCCTACAAAACAGTTGGTCCCCACTCTTTATAATACAAAATGTACTGATACCGCAGAAACTAATGTCTGCCTTCTAATATGTAACATCAAACAAATCAACAACTATAGATTGTAACAAAGGAAGGCCAATAATGTAGTATATTTTGGATTTCTTTGAACAACACTTTATGATACATTTGACAAACTTGAGTGATTTTAAATAGATTTTCATGATATTTACTAACAAAATGTACATGTCCATTTTGCAGTAATGAACCATGCTTTATAAACGAATTACACATCTCATTAAAATTAACCAATAACTTAATACAAAAATACAAAACAAAAAAAAGTTAACTAAAAAGCTGTCACAAGGACATTTTCAGAGTTATTGCATTGCCTGGACAGGAACATGATATCTTGGATGAGCTATGAACAATATCTACAATTGCACCTATTAATGTTACAACGTTTCAATACTCCTCAACAAGCCCTATAGGTTCCAGACACTTGAACAGTGATCTAAGCCATCCACTCCAGACCTGTCCTCCAGTCACTTCAACACAACATGGTAGCTGTCATTATTTTCATCTGTAATTAGAAGACAAACATAGGACAACAATTAGCCCTGTTTAAACATGAAATAAGTATAAAAATAGCATGTTTACATGAGGTTCTGTGCATTTAAGAGGTTAGTGAGGGAAATATGACCTTTCAGAGTGCTGACAACAAAGCTTGTTTCCTCTGTGAAGTTCTGCACCATCTGAGAAAGAAGAAATTAAGAAAATAGCTCTTAGTGATTCATTCGACATTTAAATGGCATCTCTTTCTCTTTATTGGTTTGATGCTGGTAGTCAATCAGTAACCAGACATCATAATCAGGTGCATGGAAACAGCCCTGGCCATAACAGCCTGAGCCAGAGTTGATCCTGTTGTAGTTCCTCTGCATCCATAGGTCTACATTCCCCTGTTTCCTACCAGTCATTAATGATTGATTTTCTATGCCATTGCCTTTTACACAGGGCCATTAGTGATATTAGTGACCCAAGCTGACTGACCCAAGCCAGCCCAGGGCACAAACAACCAACACAGGGCCTCTGGAGGAGATACAGATAACCTAACAACTCCACGACCCCTACCACTAGCACTATCACTACTCACTGATAGAAACACTACCCATGACCCCAACCCCTAGATCTACTCAACAAATGTCTATTTTCCAATCATCGCCTCCTTCTCAAAACACATTGGAGAAGGTCAGAGGGTTTACTTTGTAAAGCTAAGTAATTACTCTGCAGTTATTAGTGATGCATACATACAAACAACTAACCAAATGCTTGAAAACAAATAGTAATCTGTAGATGCACTATATCCTTCATCTTAACTCTGTCCCCTGCCTTCTCTCACCTCATCAGAGACCAGTATATGTATCCCTGTGGGTCCTTGTCTGTAAATGTGGCTGATCTGCTGGGGAGTTACACTGTAAAGGAGAGCTATCTTCTCTGAGAGGTCCCCCAGTGTCAGGTCCTCCAGATATAGAGCATGGTACACTATAGACATAAGAGGGAAGGCGATTAGCTGAGGGTTAGAGATCATCATCAGCTAAAACATGATATGGGAAATACTGGAAAGTCACTGGATGTTCTTAGTCCAGGACTAGGCTTATCTTTGTCCGGGAAAGGGTTCTTTGGTGTCAGATTAATAGTACCCACAATAATTGGAGATGTACAGTAACCTACCCTCTCCCCCCCCTGGCTTGGTCTGTGGTTGATTCCTGGACTGTTGTTGACACACATAGATGGTGAGGCGGGGCTGTATATACCTGTACAGAGTAAAGACGAATAACACCCATCCAGAATTAACCATGGTAAATGTGGGATAAAAGTTACACACTTGAGTAAAGTACTAATTGATGAAGTGTTGCCAAAAAATGTATATTATGTTGGTGTGTTGGCATAGTCTTCCTGCCACCGCAGTTTATTCTCACCTTCCTTTGATGCTGTTGAACAGCCGGATGCCGTCTGCCGGACCACAGATTTGGATCAGGTCCTCTCTGCTCATCTTCAACAGGTCAGCGCCTACAACATTCACAGAAGATCCACAGTCACTTACAAACTGGTCTGATGAAGTTTTGGAGGAACAAAGACATAAAGAGAGAGAAAATTCCCAGATTATTCTCTGCTAAGGCCTTTCTACAAAGTTAGAAACAATTCTAGATGTGTAGTGTCTGACAGTTATCTGAGTGCCATTCATGGGTGAATTACTTCACTTTAAAAATAATGTATATTTAATTTTCACTGGAAAAGTCCTTCAGATATCAATCCTATGCATCAAAACAAAAAGCTACAAAGACAGCTAATAGTCTTAGAAATGGGCCTAACATTTTCAAGGAAAATGACACACAGACACACACACACGCGCACACACACACACACACACACACACACACACACACACACACACACACACTACCTGAGAAGCTGGAGAAGAGCCTACAGAAAGGCGAAAACCTGTGACGCTGAAGCCACTGCTGCGTGTCCTGCGGTGAGGACGATGGCACAAGGTGCTACATGTCAAAAAGAAGAAGAGCCCTTGAAATGAGTAGCTATAGCAACCACTGACTGCCCACCGCCTCCAAACAATCGCCTAAAAAAATAAGAGATGAGAGCAATGGCATTAATACTACTTCTCCAGTTACTTACATCAGAAGAGCAGCCGGACAGAATCAGCTCCCCCTGCTGGATTGGAGAGCTGTTGCTATAAAAGTAAAGTGTCACACAAATGGGGAAGATAACAAGAGTTGGGTCATTAAGTAATGACTTGTCCTGATAAGACTAGTGCAAATAGGCAGTTCCAATGGGATTGCACTGTAGATAATGGAGGATCCAATTTGGCTGACCTCTTGTCCTACATAACAGTTCTTCAAAAAATGTGTGGGTGTGCAACTGAACTGCCATAGATGCACAAAGACATAGAAAAATCCTATATTTGCATCATGATCAACAATTTAAGTCAATGAATAGTTCAATTCATCCAGATAGGAGAGGAGTCTTACCCTTCAGTAAAGCTACATGAGGTGGGGGAGCTGTGGTAGACTGGGGAAGGAGTGTTGTTAGTGCTGCTGAGATTTGGGGCATCAGGCCAGGGGGAACACTGAAACAAAAGAGAGAGAAAATTAACTTTAATAAGACGCTCCTGGCAGAGAAAGAGGCACGTCTGGTTACTGTTTTACTAGGACATTGTGATTGTAGACTGATACAGACATAAATGGGAAATCCTAGAAACCCAAAACCAGGTTAGTAGAAAACAATCACTGTTTGTTCCAGCATGTTGGTTGACGTCAAAAGAAAAGGCACTGACAGACTGTTGCCCTAACTGTCACAATCATTAACAGACAACTGCATCAAGGGCTGGTCAGAGTGACATATAACTACGGAGTCCAACAATAACATGAGTGGACTAAAGCAACATATTAACATGTTATGACAGAATAGATGGTCAAGTGACACACAGCCACAGTGTCAGGGTCCCTCACCTCTGTAAGCATGGTGGTTTCATGAGAGGATTGGTATTTCTCCCTGTCTTGATGGGACTTTTTATCAATCTTTTCCCTATCAGTCTTCAGTTTACGATCAGCTCCTTTTGGCTTCAAGAAAAGAGAAGAATAAATTAAGTACCCAAAGAAAGTAAATTAACTAATAGCTCTCACACACACACACACACACACACACACACACACACAGCAATGCACACACACACACACACACACACACACACACACAACTCCACCTAAGAGCCCCTTTACCTTGAAGACCTTGACCTGACAGCTGGAGGAGTGCATATGCTCCAGGTACTCTCCATGTTCGTTCTGAGTGAAGGTGTCTATCTGGATACGGAAGGGAACTCCCTTCTCCCCACCATGCTTCCTAGGGGTGAACTCAGTGCTAATGCAGTTGACCTGCACACAAACAAACATACATACACAATCCATGAGCCATTCTATAAATATGATAATTAGAGTTTCAAATGCAAGAAACGGGTGGAATTGGAAAATAGTCCCTCTGGGATGTGGGAAGTCACTGTATAAACTCACTTTATAAATTCCTTAAATTCACCTTAAAAAAAAAAACATTTTATATGTCAAATGATTTTACTTTCACCCCAATTCCAGGACCAAAATAAACTAGAAAGCAGGGAAAAGAAATAGATAGATATTTGACTGTGTTACCTGGATGAAGACGGATGCGTTCTTGACAGGATCCCAGAGGAACTCTATAGTGTTGAGCTGCAGCGGGTGAGCACGAGGCTCGACGACACCCACAGAGAGGGGGGTATCTGGACACAATCAAGTCAGTCAGTCACAGCAGGTCAGAATAAATTGTTACCCTTGCTATTTACCAGGTAGATACTTAGAAAGGATTAGTTAAAACGGTAAATACCTAATAATTGCATAGTAATTACACTTCAGTATCAGACCGATTATAAAGGTGATACAAAGGCAATGTAGATCATATCATAGTTCAGTCATCAAACAGACTGTGGTTGGGTTTACTTAAGAAGTTCTCTGGTCTGCTGGCAACCAGCCTTACCTACATCCAGGATCCTGTCCCCAGGCCTGTTCCATCGCCAACCCTCCAGCTGCTGGTGTTCTGTGTACTGCAGGCGCCGGTCATGAAACACCACACGCACAATGCTCTGTGGACAAGCAGGACAAAGCATTAGTACGAAGCACAGTGACTAAGCAAGGCAGCCTCGCACGTGGCCGATCGCCAATGTCGTTCGGCAAAGTGCGAAAAGCTACACACAATCTCCCAGAAGAACCATTTACAGATCATTTCTTCAGGCATTAACAAGTGGAGATCCATAAGGATTGCATCACCCTTGGCTTCAGCTCATATGAGTAACACTTAAAAGAACATCCACAGATTCCCATTGACTAAACCATATAAAGGGAGATAATGCTGGGGTTAAAGCCATATAGGATTAAATTATGTCTGATGGTTGTGCAGTAATCTGCCTTCATAGCTAAATTATTTGTTGACAGAAGCTTTGAGATAAAACATCCATGAGTTCTACCTGTGCTATTAAGACATTAGTGAGGAATCAGTAGTAGTTGTTTGAAGTGTCACCGTTTGAGAACAAAGCACATACATAAAGCTTTTAATGATTAAAGCACTGGTCTGGATTGGTAAAGACAGACTAGACAACTGCCTGTGCACACTTAATTATTGTTTCCACACAAACGAAGGGACATAAATTAATGTTCCCCCTCACTGTTGCATTAGTATGAAGTTAATTGCACATTTAAAACCTACTAAGAACATAAAGCAAATCATAAAATTAACAACCTGTAAAAACAACGTTTCCAGTCATTTCAGCCTAATATGCTGAGAGGCTCATGCGTGAATGCGCAGAGCACAAGGCCATAGACAGACACAACACGTCATCTGTTTGTAGAAGTGCCACCTGTTCCATTCTAGTGTCGTTAGACTGCTTCATTGAACATGACCGGAATATGACCGTCCATTCCTGACAGCCTGACGACACAGAACTTTCAAGTGGATGGATATGTGTATTGGGACATGGCTAAATTCAATTAAAATGACTTCATGGAAAATGCATACCGATATCTGCCTTAATTTTAAACACTGGTGATAGACATAAAGATATATAAAAGTCGACTCCCATAATTAAAATCACTTAAAAACAAACATAGATCCAACATATTATAACAACCTGTAACAAAATTTGCACACAGTGGCAACTTGAGTTGTACTAATGGGTGTTATTCATAAACCAATGGCATCTTCAATATACCACTTGTTCTTTTTCAAATAATGAAATAAAGTTAAACAAGGTTTCCTTTATAACAAACAAAAATGGTCTTACTAAAGATAAAACAAAGGATTGTCATAATTTCCTTGCTATAAGATCAATGTTCTTGATGCACATTTCACATTTGAAAAAGAAAAACAAGAAATACATTTCAACAACGTAAAAAAATGTCAAAACTTTATGAATAATTCCCAGTAGTAAAGTCTATAGACGAAAGCAGAATTGTACGTAAAATGAACTTATGCAAAAAGAGCAAATAAGACAACTTGAAGATATATGATGTGTTGTGCGATAAAGCGGATGTGTTGTAGGGTAAGCTGAACTGAGCTGAGTGTGTGGTGGTGTCTAAGTTCAGAAGGGGAGAAGTTGGGTGATAGTACCAAGTCTTCAAAGATGGCACACGCCCAACCCCCGAAGTGGAAAGAAGAGGGTTGAGGAGTCACCTGTGTGTTGACAGTTTCAGGAAATGGAAGATACATATAAACAGATAAAGAAAAAAAGGTCAGGGAAGAGGTCACATGAAAGTCAAAAATACATACACAATACCTTTAACCTACCTTAACATATTTGCTGCTTATATCTGTATACTCCACTAGTTTTCTGTTAAGCATACGGATTTCGTAGGACTGACCTACATTTTAAAACATTAAGACAAACCTGATTAAAATTGAAAAATGTGAAATCAATCAGTCAGAAAAAGGGGCAGCATAGGAATAGAAATGTATTCAATAAACACCTTTTCTTTTAAAAATGATTTAAAAGTCAGGGTTTGCCACCATAGACCCCTTGCAGTAAAAGTTTTCAGCCACATTATGGTCGAGCCTGACAATTGTAAAATAAAAATCTTTACTTTGCAATTTACTATTACAATTTCCATCATATCAAGCAAGTACTTCTGTGCAATAGTCATATTATATAAACATATCTTAAAGGCAGGTAGGCCTACATAGTAGACTAACTTCCCAATTCTTTGGGGGGGTTTAATAATTTTTTGCTGGTTTACCAATAGCTTCCAATTCCATTCACTGAAATGTGCAACTAACCTAGTAACTTTTGGTAAATGGCCGTCTTATATGCAATATATTCTGAACCAATAAATACATAATACATAAATCCAATGGATGATCATAAATTAGACCACAAGAGGGAACAAGAAGATGACAACAATGAGGGAAAATGCAGTTAAAGATAAGATGAATATGAAAATCAAATATATATCTTGGGGGATCTTTCAGAAACTAAAGTGGAATATCTAGAAATGCAAGATTACTGATGTGGGACTATTTCAAAGGGAATTGTGTGTCTATGTAAATAAGCTGAAGAAGATTTACTCCAATGTAAGTGTCATCTTGTGTGGGTAGTAAATGTACAAAATAAAAATAAAAAAGAGCGAGAATATGACCTTGTGTTTACTGGAGTGATGTTTTTTCCATATTGTATCTGTGCTGATAAGAGGGAGAATGTTCTTCCAGTGGGCCTACACTCAATTACATGCCATGAGTTCTTCAGTTCCATCCAACAACCTATGACTTTAGTAATGAAGAAAGAATAGCTAGCTACCTTGGTTTAGATAAGTCAGAGTTTCTTCTTGCTGTTTTACAGCGGGCGAGGTGGCTGCACAGAGAACATATTGGAAAGGAGACCATTTGGTGCCATTTTCTGTTGCGTGCCGTTCCTCCTCGTGTTTCAGGAAAGGCGCCAAAGCATCTCTGAGAGAGAGCAGAGAGAGAGAGAGAGAGAGAGAGAGAGAGAGAGAGAGAGAGGAGGGGGGGAAAGGTGCGGTTGATCATTCAAAGATTTATCGAAGCACAAATAAGTAAGAGGCTTCTCAATGGTCAGCCAGATCAGTCAATGGTCTCAATGGTCAGACAGATCAGTCAATGGTCTCAATGGTCAGACAGATCAGTCAATGGTCTCAATGGTCAGACAGATCAGTCAATGGTCTCAATGGTCAGACAGATCAGTCAATGGTCTCAATGGTCAGCCAGATCAGTCAATGGTCTCAATGGTCAGACAGATCAGTCAATGGTCTCAATGGTCAGCCAGATCAGTCAATGGTCTCAATGGTCAGCCAGATCAGTCAATGGTCTCAATGGTCAGACAGATCAGTCAATGGTCTCAATGGTCAGACAGATTTGATCTTATCAGTACCCCTTGGCTAAGGTGCAACGGTAGGTAAAATGTTTTAATACACTTGTATGATGCATAATCACATTGCACAACATTACTTTGCCATATATTGAATGCTTTAACATTTAAATCTGAGGTGGAATAGAGTAGCAATTTTGCAAGGTCTTCGCCTAAGCTACTACAAGACTAAAGGGCGATATAGGTGAAATGGTGAAGTTGTGGGCTAATAAAAATGTATTTCAAACATTTCGTTGCTTTCAATACCATTTAAATGAAGCATTTAAGAATAAACTAAATTAAACTTTTCTGATTATAAAACGTTCTCTGGAGATGTCCACTTACCGAATATAACTTGCAGTTGAATGCTGGTGGTAGGGCTCTGGCTGGTTGTGCCAAAACAACATGTTTTCCAGTGCCGCGTCTATAGTATCCCCAGAAACAGAGAATGGGAGTTGGGTGTGGCACCCTGGTGTGTTGCTTCCACAGGTAGGTCTGCTAGCGCTCTCAAAGAAGTTTGCTGGCCAGCACCCTGCTACAGACTTATATACTGGGTATGACATCACTTTCAGCTCATTAGAATACCTTACATGACCTTTGAGAAGCGGACTGGGACTCACTGATTGCCTCCCAAATGGCACCCTATTCCCAATATAGTGCACTACTTTGACCAGGGTCCATAGGGCTGTGGTCAAAAGTAGTGCACTATATAGGAAATAGGGTGCCATTTGGGATACAAGAACTGACACACCTCCCCTGCTCCGTAGTGGTGCAGCACAGGTAACCTAAAATCGGAATAAGTGCACAGTCCGATTTGTATTTTTTAATGGCTACTTGGCTAGATCAGCTTCTTTCTCATGAGAACCCAGATAGTTGTTTGCATCATATCTAGTCTTTTTGCTTTCTTTTTGTAATTTTTTTTATATACAATACCAGTCAAAAGTCCGGACACACCTACTCAATCCAGGGTTTTTCTTTATTTGAACTTTTTTCTACATTGTAGAATAATAGTGAAGACATCAAAACTATGAAATAACACATATGGAATCATGTAGTAAGCAAAAAAGTGTTAAACAAATCAAAATATATTTTATATTTGAGATTCTTCAAATAGCCACCATTTGCCTTGATGACAGCTTTTCACACTCTTGGCATTCTCTCAACCAGCTTCACCTGGAATGCTTTTCCAACAGTCTTGAAGGAGTTCCCACATATGCTGAGCACTTGTTGGCTGCATTTCCTTCACTCTGCCGTCCGACTCATCCCAAACAATCTCAATTTGGTTGAGGTCAGGGGATTGTGGAGGCCAGGTCATCTGATGCAGCACTCCATCACTCTCCTTCTTGGTAAAATAGCCCTTACACAGCCTGGAGGTGTGTTGGGTCATTGTCCTGTTGAAAAACAAATGATAGTCCCACTAAGCCCAAACCAGATGGGATGGCGTATCGCTGCAGAATGCTGTAGTAGCCATGCTGGTTAAGTGTGCCTTGAATTCTAAATAAATCACAGACAGCGTCACCAGCAAAGCACCCCCACACCATAACACCTCCTCCTCCATGCTTTTACGGTGGGAACTACACATGCGGCGATCATCCGTTCACCAACACCGCGTCTCACATAGACACGACGGTTGTAACCAAAAATCTCCAATTTGGACTCCAGACCAAAGGACAGATTTCCACCGGTCTAATGTCCATTGCTTGTGTTTCTTGGCCCAAGCAGGTCTCTTCTTCTTATTGGTGTCCTTTAGTAGTGGTTTCTTTGCAGCAATTCGACCATGAAGGCCTGATTCACAGTCCCCTCTGAACAGTTGATGTTGAGATGTGTCTGTGATTTATTTGGGCTGCAATTTCTGAGGATGGTAACTCTAATGAACTTATCCTCTGCAGCAGAGGTAACTCTGGGTCTTCCATTCCTGTGGCGGTCCTCATGAGAGCCAGTTTCATCATAGCGCTTGATGGTTTTTGCGACTGCACTTGAAGAAACGTTCAAAGTTCTTGACATTTTCAGTATTGACTGACCTTCATGTCTTAAAGTAATGATGGACTGTCGTTTCTCTTTGCTTATTTGAGCTGTTCTTGCCATAATATGGACTTGGTCTTTTACCAAATAGGGCTAACTTCTGTATACCCCCCTTCCTTGTCACAACACAACCGATTGGGTCATACGCATTAAGAAGGAAAGAAATTCCACAAATGAACTTTTAAGAAGGCACACCTGTTAATTGAAATGCATTCCATGTGACTACCTCATGAAGCTGGTTGAGAGAATGCCAAGAGTGTGCAAAACTGTCATCAAGGCAAAGGGTGGCTATTTTTATTTTTTATTTTTGGGGGGATGGATCAGCTTAATATTGCAGATAGATTGTATCTTCTATCAATGTAATTGTCTGCATCACTTCCAATCCCCCATGTTTTTTATATATATACTCCCCTTTATTACTTTTCAACCCCGCCATCCTTTCCCTACTTGGAGTAAATTAGTGAACAACAATGCCCAGGCCTCTACTTCCGGCCTATACTTACTATCTACACCTTATGGACACAGTTAATTTTACAATAATTATATTATATATATATATATATTTATTTTTTTGCTCCTGAACTTCTTCTACTCTCAACCTCTCCGATCATTTTCATGATGTCCATCCGGTTTGCTTCTATATGCCATATCTTTCTAACTGTGCTCTTTCCCAAAAGCTCCCAACATACAACCTATATACTTATTATGGACACAGTATGCTTACATTATTAGCCATCTTTGTTATTATTTGTTGTTATTTGTTATTAGTCCCATCCTTCAACTCTATTCAATACCTCCCATCTATCTCTTAACACCATCCATATAGGATTTCTATTTGCCATATATATTTCAACTGTATTGTGATGTTTTACAAAAGTTCTAAACCTTTCTATTCTCATTGCTTCTACAGATTGTGAATTAAAAATAAACATTTTTGCTAAAAGTATTATTATATTATTGATCGATTGACTATGACTTTTCAGATCACCCAGTAATGCTATCTGCAAGGTTAGCTCCAGGTAAATATTGCAATCCTTTAGCCATTCCTGGACCTGTTTCCAAAAACAAGCTACAAATGGACAGAACCAAAACAAATGATCTAATGATTCTGTCTCTTCACAGCAAAATCTGCAGAGCTGGGAAGATTGTATCCCCCATATAAATAACATTCTATTGGTAACAAGAATTTTATATAATAATTTAAATTGAAAGATTCTAATTTTTGAATCCGGTGTCGTTTTGCGTGTCAGTTCATAAACACTATGCCATGGGATCGGTACGTCAAAAATCTCTTCACAACTATTTTGCAACCTATATGGGACGGCTATTTGAAGAATCTCAAATATAAAATATATTTTGATTTGTTTAACACTTTTTTTGGCTACTACATGATTCCATGTGTTATTTCATCATTTTGATGTCTTCACTATTATTCTACAATGTAAAAAAAAATTGTAAAAATAAAGAAAAACCCTTGAATGAGTAGGTGTGTCCAAGCTTTTGACTGGTGCTGTATATCTATATTGGCTCAGCCTACTACTCTACCCTTGGCAGCAAAGCGAAGCAGCATTGACATCCCTCACTACGTACCAAAAGAGCATATCAAATTCTCAGTTGGGTTAATGTTTAGACAGAAGAACTAATGCACATATCAGCACTCAACTTTGTTTGTAAATGAATGGGAGACTGAGCAATCGAACTGCATACCAATGCTAAATTCGACCACCTAAATATACAAATACAAACATATATAAACAAAGTGAATCAACTTTCATGTTTGTTTATTTCTAGAGCAAACAAATGTACATTGATGGCAAATCATCTATCACAGGTGGATGTTAACAAAACCCTTCTGTACAAGTTGTCATGAAAAAATAAAACAAAAATAAAACAATTATATAAATAGAGATATTAATCTTAAATGACAAAACAAGAGAAACAAACAAATAATAACATGCAAAGTGAACAGATTGCTAGGAATACCTTCTCTTAGGGACCATCATCACCAGCAGATAATGTGAAAATGATCCAGATCTTCATGGGTCATCAGCCAATACAGTACTTTCTGTCTTTAACAAAACGATTGGCTTCTCACGAACACACAATAAAATAAAATGAACATACTTACAAAAGGATGATAGCCCCATTTAAAAACAAACAAAGCAAACAATTAGTGTAATTTTTACAACTGTTCAGCAGATGGGAATAGATGCCAGATACTTTACTATAGTAAAAAGGCACGCACACACAGTGTACCTTTAATAAAAGCCACATGCCCAAATATGTAGTACTGTACTAAAGGAGAACTAGTACTGTACATGTCTGCTTGGCACCTTGAGACGGTTAGGCCCTGTACAGTGTACACAGTTGTCTAGGGAAGTCAGAGACTTCGTAAAGTTCTGGTCAACTCGCAGAGCTCTGAGAGTGTATTCCTGCCAGGTGGCTACCTGTTGTTGTAAAGGCTGACCAAACTGATGAGGTTACAAGTGCACTTCAACAGCCAAAACAGGACCCATCGATTAAAGGCAGCACCAAGTGGATGTGCTGCCCAAAAACATGCAAGCTAATTCACTAACGTGCAAAAAAGTGAGATATTAACCTTTTTATTTCATTACATGACAGTTGCGAAGCGGTGATTGATCAACAGTTATGTACAAAATACTTAAGTTTGCTCATCATGGTATTTTCTTTATTGCAAAAGCTGTAGTTACGTGAAGGGAAGGTGGGTGTAATACTGTATTATTATAAACAACTAATATTTGCATCATCATGGTGAATATTATTGTATCGGTTTGCAAGCCTGTTTATTGTAGTTCATGGAGTAATTGTTTCACATTTCTAAGAGCTGAGAGCTTCTGTATGTACATCTATCTTGTTTTTCAACAGTACAAGTGATCCAAACATTACTGTGGAAAATTAACATAAGCCTGGTAGGGCCGGTTTCCTGGACACAGATTAAGACTAGGACTAAAACACACTTTTAATAGATATTCTCCACTGAGAATAGTTTTTAATCCAGGACTAGGAGTCTGTCTCAATGAATCCACTGATCTCCTTCCAAAACTGAGCCTGTAATATTCACATTATCAACAAGTGTAGTGTTGTTACTCATTATCAGACATGTATACGTTATAAACAGCAGCATCATAGTTAACAGGTAAAATGCCATAATCTGGCAACACAGGTGGGAAGAGGGTGGGAATAAATAAATGTGACACTTTGGATTTGTTTAGTGTTTTCACTGACAAGTTTGTATGTTGTCATGACTGATTATGGCCCACTCATTCAGTGACATCATTAGCAACATGGACATTGAGTAGGTTGAGAACACTCATTCAAATTCTGAGTTGGAAGGGATCCATTACAATTGCACTTGATTGATTCAGGGAATGTTAAGAAATGTTATGTTTTGGTGTATTTTCCTCCCTTAATATTTGTTTTTATTTGACAATCGAAATGGAGTTAACCACAACCATAATTGATTGTGAGTTGGAAAAACAGATTTAACTTCAGACACAGTTGCATCTTTACCTCTCTCCTTATTTTGAAAAGCTTCCATTTTAGATTGCCAATTTTGTGTTGAAAAAATGAAGGTCACCATTTATTTAATACAGTACTTCTATTTTTTCTCATGTTATAGCCAAGCTATTAGCTGCAAATTGGCCTCTGACAATGTTTGCGCCATAATTTCTCCCAAACTAATGGATACTAATAATAAAAGATAGTGTTAGCTTACCTGGGCTTAAGTTAGCCTTTATAATGATTGACAAACGTAACATTTTCAAATTAAAATGTTTCCTTTTTACGGGATTGTATAACGTCATCCCTCAGTTAATAAAGAAAAACAATCAGATTTCCACTCATTCTACTTCAATTGCTGACATATTTGGTTTTCATTGTTCCCAAACTGTTTATTACATTTTTACATTTTAGTCATTTAGCAGACGCTCTTATCCAGAGCGACTTACACTTAGTGAGTGCATACATTATTTTTTAATACTGGCCCCCCGTTTACAAGGGCTTTGTATCATCACTGGGTCAGCCATATGATTCTTTATCACAAACCGGATGTCATGTGGTCCTCCTTAGGAATAAGGTCTTCCGACCTCAATGGGACTTCCTGGTTAAACGTGAAGGACCTATTCTACTGTGACGTTTCAGGCTGTGTTTATTCATCCAATTGCATTTGAAGGGATGTTTTGTTTTTGCTGAATCAATATCAGGGTATTATTTGGTATTGGACCATACGTACCATTCTTATTGGACCATATCATAACCCTTAGTTATGTTTTCCCCCCTACACTCTGAATGCTCAACATAATGAACATCCGATCTTTACCTTACAAAAAATTGCTAGTGAACTAGAGGGTTGAAGCAGACACAGCTCGACTCTCATTCAGGGTCTTATAGTAAAGTCCAAAAGCGTTAAAGCGCCCTTCACCCAGACCTATTTGCATTCAAAAACTTCAATAAAAGGGGGGGGGGGGGGGGGGTGGCTAATGAAGGTACAAGTTCCCCGGAAAGAAAAAGAAAAGAGCAAAGTAAGTGAAGGGGTGGTTGAAGCGATGAGCAGGTCATAGGGTCACCCAGAGGAGTCCAGTGGGGTGAAGGAGAGAAGAAAAGCTCAGGAATGGAGAGGTCTGGAAGAGGCACGACTATGGCTTCGTCCCAAATGGCACCCTATTCCCTATATAGTGCACTGCTTTCAACCAAAGCCCAAAAGTGCGCTATATAGGGAAAAGGATGACAATTTGGGAAGCAACCCTTTTCCCCCCCAATTCAGATACACAGTACAGGCAGATGGATCAGTGTCTCCCTCCCTCTGCTCCGTTAGCTAGCTGTGTGAGGAGACATCCGAGGAACTGCTGCTGTTGCTGTTGGTTGTCTGAGCCCTCTTGATGTACAAGTTCAGCAGCTTCATCTGCAAGAAGAACAGTTTTGCATTGTTGTGATCATGACGTAAAAGGTTACAATGATACCGTTCCCGACCAGGGTTGGGGTCAATTCCATTTAAATTCAGCCAATTTGTAAGTAAACTGAAATTCCAATATCAGGATTTTCAGTTTGCTTCCTGAATTAACATCTACATTACATTTGAGTCACTTAGCAGACGCTTTTATCCAGAGCGACTTACAGTATTGCATACATTTTTCGTACTTTTACGTACTGGTCCCCTATGGGAATCGAACCCACAACCCTGGCGTTGCAAGCGCCATGCTCTACCAACTGAGCGACACAGGACTCAAAATTGAATTTACCCCAACCCTGGTCTAGACCAATCAGATGACAGAAAGCTGTGGCGGTACTGAGGTGACGGGGGAACGGCTGGCGTAGCGTGACAGACAGAGTGACCTGAGTATTGTTAATTTGCCAAAACATTTAGCTCATTGTGCCAATTGCGTATTTCCTCACAGAAATGAGGACAACATTGTTTCAACGTTGAAATCTACTAATGAATGGGTAATCATTTTGTAAGTTCATGTTGGTGAGAATTGTTTTAAACTGAGCTAGCTATGTCATCCAGTGGAATGACATGCCTGATTAGAGTAGTGCTTGCTAAGGGAAATGTGTGTTATAGTCTACATACTACCGTTGCTCTAGGATTAGGCTTTGGGCATGGCTCCGCTTAGAATGTCGTGAGGGTCCAGAGTCCTCTAATAAGGTGTAAATGCTAACTAACTACGCTGTTGCCTTAGCGATGAACCTCAGAGCCAATGCTCCGTGACCCTGCTGCTTTCTCAACCCAGCCAAGGTCATTGTGCAACAGGCTCAATCCAGCCAGCACACTCACTCTCACTCCCTTTCTCTCACTGCCTGGCATGCCTGTCAGAAACTAGGAATAGGGGGAGGGGGGGGGGGGGGGGGGGGGGGGATTCACCCCTGGATCGTGTTCATATTTGGTATTTGGAATTTTATTAGGATCCCCATTAGCTGTTGCGAAGGCAGCAGCTACTCTTCCTGGGGTCCACACAAAACATGAAATAATACAGAACATTAATAGACAAGAACAGCTCGAGGACAGAACGACATAAAAAAATGCACACGTAGCCTACAAATCAATACACACAAACTATCTAGGTCAAATAGGAACTAAACGGAAGAAAACAGGCCGAAACGAGGAAGTACTACCTGAACTTGTCCAATAAGATTTTCGTTTTCTGTTGCACAACGTTTTGCTACAGTGTGCCCTAATGAATATTTCCCTGATGGACTCCAGTGCCCCCTTATGCATGGCCACACAGGCCGCCGAGGGAAAGTAGGGCAAAAATGACCCTTACTGTACATCTCAACCACACACCACAGACCAAACCAGTCAAAACCAGAGGCTAAATAAAAACATGGAAAACCGATTAGGGGGTTGTGTTTGGGGGACAGGTGTGTGTGTGTGTGTGTGTGTGTGTGTGTGTGTGGTGTATTGTGTGTGTGTGTGTGAGGACTTTGAGATGCAGAGCGAGCACATGACAGTTGTGGGTAGAGTACCTTGCTGCCCGTGAGTAGCTGCAGGTGTGGTTTGAGCTCTTCTCCAATCACGGAGTAGATGGCCACCAGACAGAACACGCTGGCCTTGCGAACACTACTCTCTGTGTTGTCATAACCCTGGGAACAGACATACAGACTATCACTGGACTGGCTGCCAGCAGGAGAAACACACACGGAGAAACAAGCACACACACACACTGAATCAGCTAGCAGCGAACACACTCGCGAACGCGCACACATAGAACAACAGGTCATTGGGAACGTGGGAGGAGTGGCAGAGGTGTGTTCAGGGGCAGAGTACAGGCAAACATTTCCAGGTAAAAAATAAGGCAAACAGTTCTCACTGTCAAAATATGAACATTAACAAACACGGTGTAGGCCTAGAAACTACCAAGGATGTTTGGTAACACAACTCCACACCTACAGAGAAACACTTAGTTTACTGTGCAGTCGTAATATGATTGAGACATTAGCCATCTGTTCACCACTCCATTCACAACTCCACACCTAGAGAAACATTTCCAGGAACAAATAAGGCAAACAAACAGTTTCCCACTGTCCAAATATGAACCAATATGGTGCAGATACTAACAAGAACGTTTCCATTTCCCCCCCCCGCAATGGCCCCTTCACTAGTCCTGCATTCTATATAATAACATAATAAATGCCACTAAGCACTCCTATCAAAAGCAACTTATGCAAATTACATGTTTTTTTATTTAACCTTTATTTTAACAGAGAGTCATGCTGAGACCAAGGTCTCTTTCACAGATGAGCCTTGTATACAGATCAATGCTCATCAATAACATCACAATACACATCACTATAAACATCACTATACACATCAATATCATGTCATGCCCTGGCTCTGGGGACTCTAGTATGTTGAGCCAGGGTGTGAGTTATCTTTTGTGTTTGTTCTAGTTGTTGTATTTCTATGTTGGCCAGGGTGGCTCCCAATCAGAGACGGCTGTAGCTCGTTGTCTCTGATTGGGAGCCATACTTAAGTAGCCGTTAGGCATTCATTTGGTGTGGTTTCTTGTTCCGTGTTGGTTTGTGTATGTAACCAGGGACGTCACGTTTTCGTTTTGTTCGTGTGATACTTTATAAAAATAAATATGTTCGCATTCCACGCTGCGCCTTGGTCCTCCTCTGTTCCCGACGATTGTGACAGAAGAAACCACCAAGACTGGACCAAGCAGCGTGTCCAGGAGCCATCGCCAGGGAGATCTCTAGCAGATCTCCTTCGCCTCCTCGACTGGGTCAAGCCGGGTGAGGAAGAGAAGGGCCGGACTTGGAAGCAGAAGGGCGAAAGTCTGGCGAGGGACATGGAGACCTGGTCCACGGGTAGGAGAGACGGCCAGAACATTTTTAGGGGGGGCTCACGCCGTGGACGACGTGGCAGCAGGGGGCCGCGATGGAGCGGTTAGTAGAGGAGGCCGCCAGGTTACGGGGGCCACTGGTCACTAAAGGGGAGGAGAGTGTAGAGGCACGGCGAGAGGTACTGGGGTGTGTTACCAGTCCGGTCCGGCCCGTTCCTGATCCCCGCGTAGGGCCAGTGGTGTGTGTCCCCAGTACGGTCCGGCCTGTTCCTGTCCCTCGCACCGAGCCTGTGGTGTGCGTCGCCAGCCCGGTTCGGCCCGTCCCTGCTCCCCGCACCAAGCCAATGGTGCGCGTCGTCAGCCCGGTCCGGCCTGTTCCTGCTCCCCGCACCAAGCCAATGGTGCGCGTCGCCAGCCCGGCCCGGCCTGTTCCTGCTCCCCGCACCAAGCCAATGGTGCGTTTCGTCAGCCCAGCTCGGCCCGCTCCTGCTCCCCGCACCAAGTCAGTGGTGCGCTTCGTCAGCCCGGCTCGGCCCGCTCCTGCTCCCCGCACCAAGTCAGTGGTGCGTTTCGTCAGCCCAGCTCTGCCCGCTCCTGCTCCCCGCACCAAGTCAGTGGTGCGCTTCGTCAGCCCGGCTCGGCCCGTTCCTGCTCCCCGCACCAAGTCAGTGGTGCGCTTCGTCAGCCCGGTCCGGCCCGTTCCTGCTCCCCACACCAAGCCAGTGGTGTGCGTCGTCAGTCCGGCACAGCCCGTGCCTGTTCCACCGGTGCCTGGTTCAGCACGGGTCAGCTGCTTCACGCCGGAGCTAGAGCAATCCGCTCCACCAGTGTGCAGTCCAGCTCCGGTCAGCAGGGCCAGACCGGACCAGGGGTACTTTGGGGGGTTAGAGAGGGAGTGGGGATCATGCCCGGAGCCGGATCCGCCGCCAAGGCGGAGTGCCCACCCGGTCCCTCCCCTGTGGTATTTGGTTGGCGCGGTCGGAGTCCGCGCCTTTAGGGGGGGGGTACTGTCACGCCCTGGCTCTGGGGACTCTAGTATGTTGAGCCAGGGTGTGAGTTTTCTTTTGTGTTTGTTCTAGTTGTTGTATTTCTATGTTGGCCAGGGTGGCTCCCAATCAGAGACGGCTGTAGCTCGTTGTCTCTTATTGGGAGCCATACTTAAGTAGCCGTTAGGCATTCATTTGGTGTGGTTTCTTGTTCCGTGTTGGTTTGTGTATGTAACCAGGGACGTCACGTTTTCGTTTTGTTCGTGTGATACTTTATAAAAATAAATATGTTCGCATTCCACGCTGCGCCTTGTTCCTCCTCTCTTACCGACGATCGTGACATATCATCACTATACACATCAATTTACACATCACTATAAACTATACACATCACTATACATATCAATGCACATCAATAACATCATATTACACATTAATATCATCACTATACACATCAACATACACATCAATATATACATCAACAATATATAAAACAAAAACACCAATAGACGAAAAGCACATCACAGCATAGAAAACAAACACATTCTGAATCAGCCTTTTGAATTGCCCTAGAGTCACCAATTCATCCAACTTTAGAGAGCATTCCACAAGTAAGGTGCAACAAAAAAAACTAAAAGCAGATTTACCTAACTAGCCATCCCTGAGACTGGGTCTGGTATCTCATACGTCTGTAAGTTACCAGTGAAGTAAGTTACGGCGGAGGTTTATGCAGGAGGGCTTCATAAACAAAAATAGTGCAAAGAATCGCTCTACGAGACTTCAAAGAGGGCCAGCCTACTTTCTGATACAGAATGCAGTGATGTGTACTGAACCTATGCAGTGGTGTGTACTGAACCTATGCAGTGATGTGTACTGAACCTATGCAGTGGTGTGTACTGAACCTATGCAGTGGTGTGTACTGAACCTATGCAGTGATGTGTACTGAACCTATGCAGTGGTGTGTACTGAACCTATGCAGTGGTGTGTACTGAACCTATGCAGTGATGTGTACTGAACCTATGCAGTGGTGTGTACTGAACCTATGCAGTGGTGTGTACTGAACCTATGCAGTGGTGTGTACTGAACCTATGCAGTGATGTGTACTGAACCTATGCAGTGATGTGTACTGAACCTATGCAGTGATGTGTACTGAACCTATCGTCCATAATAATGCATAGTGTGCTATGATAAACTGTGTCTAATGGCTTCAATACAGTGGCAGCTGCATTCAAATAGACAATATCCCCATAGTCTATAACCATTATACATTCCGTATGAATATGTAAGTAATCCATGTAGAAATTGAACCCACAACCTTCCTACTAGGCACAGATGTCTTCATTTATCTAGTTTGGATTTACATTTGAGTTGCCAACTGAAGTGAATTCAAATAGAAATAAACAAAAAAATGTAACCATGTCATTGGATTTAGGTTAAAAGTTTGGTGAAAGAAATACAAAAAAATCCTGAAATTCTTGTACGTTGATTACTTTTGCAAATCCAATGTTTGATTAAACTTCACCACATTAAAAAATATATTTGAAATGACGTGGAAACAACTTTGATTCAACTAGTTTGTGCCCAGTGGGTTCCTGTAACCAGCGTAGCACCACACTCTTACCAAACACTCACATAATGCGAAACAGGACCAGATTCTCACCTGCAGTAGTCCTGGTATGATGTCAGGCAGCAGCTGGTGCAGGGACTCCTTGGTGATGCGTTCTATCACTTTGGTCTGCATCTTGATGGCAGCCAGGTTGATGGGGTAGTCAGCCGTCTGGACGATGGGACACAGCACCTTGATACACTGCTCTGGGTGGATGGAGCCGGCCAGGGTGGAGGCAGACTCCTCCGCTGCTCTTACCACCTACAGGGGGAAAGTGGAGGTGATATATCATGGGTTTGATGACAGAGAACTGCTCTGGGTGTAGCAGTGATAAGAGAGACTATGTGGAAGATATGACAGAAGCAAGAATGGACTTCGTATACAGAGAGAACAGGACAGAACTGGAGAGGACCTAGTACCGAGCCTTGGGGGACACCAGGGAATATAAATATAAGGAGTTGCACCTCCTTGTGGGAGTCTTTGTGTGCCTCCAGGGTCTTCATGATGGTGAGTTCAGCGTAGTTCTTGAAGCGGGCCGGCTGGTTCCGCAGTATCTCCTTCAGTACCCTCAGTGCCAGGGCACGGATTGTGTGCTACATGGGGGGGAAACGAGCTGCCATTACAAACCACTACAAAACATACATGCCTTCTTGCTCACAGACATGCACCACACACCCTCACCAAACCCCATATCTTTCAGCCTTAGAGAGTTTTAAGTTTGCAGCTAAACAAAGAATCAATGTGGTAGTTGGGTATGCAGTCTTATTATTATTATTATTATTATTGTCACGATAATAATCACCATCATTGCAAGTAAAACCTTCCAACTAGCTGCAGTCTGTCTGTCATGTCAAAACTAGTAAAGTAAAGGATCCCTACGTCTTTATCCCCCAGTGTCTCCAGGAGCAGGAGGAGGATGGTCTTGAAGTGTTCGTCCCACACGGCCAGGCTGTCCTCCCGGGTGATCTTCAGGAGCTCCACCAACGCCCCCTTACGCTCCTCCACGCGTTCATTGTGATTAGACAGTTCCTTCAGCAGGTCTGCAACCAGGTCCGAGTGGTCCTGGGAACCTGAGGAGAGGATAGAGGAAAAGACTGGGTGAGTGGTACGGATCATGTAACTCTCAGCCCTAACTAGCTAGCTAGTATCCCCATGTACCAACAACAACAGAAAAGTGACAGGGAAATGGAAACACCATTGAAAAACTTTAGAAAACAAAAACAACAGTCATAGAGTTGTGGGTCTCTACCAGGAGCAAATCCCTTAGGCAGCACCATCTTGTTTTCCCCACTGCCATCCTGCCGACGGCCTGTAGAGGAGGGAAGAAGGGGGAAAGGAGGGAGGAAACAATCAGACTCACTGACTATAGCCAGCAGACTCACTTTTCACTGCAGATAAAGGGCTATCCTATTCCCAATTCCATCACTCTGGTTTCAGCCAACATGTAACACTAGAATGGACCAAATCTATTCTTTCTTTGTGTTGCCCAAACCTGAAGAAGTCACACCATCATGTCATGACATCACAGGATGTATCAAAGGTGGTCAACATGGAGGTGGAGTCACAGGGTCAAGGTTGAAGCAGAGGTCAAAGGTGACTCACAGTCTCTAAACTGCTCCACGTCGTCATCAAACACGGCCTCCTTCAGGGCACTCTTGTCGTAGGATGAGGTGATGGTGTCTCCGTATCCGTAGGGGGCAAAATCTCTGGCTCGCGGCCCAGAGAAGGAGCGGGGAGACGGGGTGTTGAGAAGGGAGGTCTTGTTATCTAGGGCCGTCCGCCCACCCTCCACCACATCCAACCCCAGACGGGCATCAGAGCCTGGGGAGGGCGCAACACCTTCCCGTCCCGCCTGGGAAGAGAGAGAGAACACAGTTAGTCTCAGATGTGGAAATGGCTATGACAACCAGGGCAGTGGAGACTGCTGAGGGGAGGATGGCTCATAATAATGGCTGGAACGGCGCAAATGGAATTTGATACCATTCCACTCCAGCCATTACGACGAGCCTGTCCTCCCCAATTAAGGTGGCACCAACCTCCTGTGAACCAGGGAGGTATACAGGACACAACACAAAGTCCAGGTCCCGTATCCACAAAGCATCTCAGAGTACGAGTGCTTATCTAGGATCAGTTTTGCCTTGTAGATCATAATGAATAAGATTATATGGACAGATCCTAGATCAGCACTTCTACTCAGATGCTTTGTGGATATGGGCCCTGGGCTCTTTCCCAATTTGTTTGTCCTCTCTCTTTGCCTCTTTCTCAAAATACATTAGAGGATAAGGGGTGGGACGTTGGATGTATCCTCCAATGGATTTTGAGAAGCAGCGAGGAGAGAGGACGCTTCCAATGTAGAGGTTGGGACTCACAGCATCGTCCCTCTTCCCTCTCAGCTCGTTGAGGTCCTCCTGGCTGCGGTAGCTGAAGCTCTGGATGGCCTCTGTGACCCCTCGCAGGGAGCTGTAGATCTCATCAGAGTTCATGTTCTCTGTGTCATACTCCAACATACTGAGGAGACAGGACAGGAAGAGAGGCTTTCTATACAGTGTCCCTCAGGACAGCAGACACACAAACAGCAAAGCCACACACAGATGAATACACTTACAAGGACACTTACCGTTTCAGTCTGACACCATGCAAGGGGTTATATTTATTGCTTCTGCAAGCTAAGTAGATGATCTTCACACAGATAGGTAAAGATGTATTTTGGGCACGGCTCTGACCATAGATGATGGTGTTCTCAATACCCAATTTGTCACTTTTATGGGATACAGCCCCTGAGAACATAGCGCAAAAAGAGACTGGAAAATGTTCTGAAAAGATTCCCAATCCTTATTGGTCGAGGAAATATTGGGAGGACAACAGAAGGACGACGTGTCACTTCCTGTCCTGCCCCTCCTGGGGAACTGAGGCCCCGCCCATAGGTGTGTTACCTGGGAGAGTACGCTCTGCGGAGGACCCTGAGGGCGGGGCCTGCGGGGGTGGAGTGAGGCGGAGGAGGATGAGGGGGAGGGGGGTGCTTAGATAGCCCATCGCCACTCCAACACCCACCCCACAACCGACTGTGGCCACAGCACGGCCACGAGGAAAGGACGGACGGACGGAGGAGGAGAGAACGGGGCAGGGGGGGAGCAACACCACAAGGGACCACACACACAGAGAGAAGAGAAGAGAAGAGAAGAGAAGAGAAGATAGAAAGAGAAGAGAAGAGAAGAGAAGAAGAGAGAGAAAGAAGGAGAGAGAAAGAAGAGATAGAATGAAGAATAATAGAATAGAGAGAAGAAGAGAAGAGAATAGGTAGAACAATACAGCAGAACAGCAATAGACTTCATTCTCAGCTCTTAGAGCGCGAGAATCGCAGCGAAAGAGAATCGAAATCTCGAAGAACGAGAAGCATGCGACTGCGAAGAGAAGATAGAAGCGACCTCAGAAGATAAGGACCCTTCCTCTCCCCGCCTCCCCTCTCCCAGCTCAGTTCTAGGTAATAAATAACTATAGTCTGAGTTGAGGTTAGAGATCAGAGGTTGGCATGCATCAATACGAGTAGAGTATTAGAATGAATGGTGAAGGAGAACAAGCCTTCAGTCAGTCAAGCAGCGGTCTGTGGTTTAGCCATGCATTAGGAGACAAAATGGCACCTGTAGATGGAGGTCAGAGAGAGGATGTACGTACCTGGGAGACAACCCCCCATGGGAGCAGTTGGTCGGGGAAGTGAGGGGGCTGGTCCGGCTAGGGGTGTGGCGGCTTGTGGTCCGCCCAATAGCGTTGCTGGGAGAACTCTGAGAAAGAAAGAGACAAACAGGTTTATAAATTAGAAAACATACTTTTATCGAAGATCATGACCAAATGGAATGAAACCATTGGATCACATACTAGTGAATGAACTAGTCTACACCAAAAATAAAATATTACTAATCACCTCACCAAATTGATAAGGCTGCTAGCGTAAACAGATCCCCCTCCCTTTTATCCCCGGTTGTATTCATTTACCACGCTGCTGGTGTTGCTGGAGTTCTTCAGGTGATTCTGGAGCAGCTTGGTGGCCCCGTCCTGGAAGGTCTTGGGCAGGGCTCCCAGCAGCATGGTGAACTCTGGGGTGTTCAGCTCAAACAGAGAGATCAGCACAACCTGGGCCGCCTGGGGGGCAGTGGGACATACAGTAGTCAATAGTGGGTTATGGGCTGCCTGGGGGGCAGAGAGGGGGAACAGGGACATAGTCAATAGTGGGTTATGGGCTGCCTGGGGGGCAGAGAGGGGGAACAGGGACATATAGTCAATAGTGGATGTATTTATTCTTACAGGGAAGCCCTTTGCTCCTCTAGGTGCTAAAAGGAATATGTCAGCTAACCATACCAGTGGAGAGACTTGGATGTACACAGTGAACCTGCTGTGTCTATTAGTGTTATACTGAATAAAATAGTACAGAGAAACAGTCCAAAACTCTCAAATCACAGTTGATCACATTATCAAACACGTTTTTGCAACTTCTGCTGTAATATAGTCAATTATAAGTTTGTGGTGAGTGACATCATGCTTTAAAAACAAAATATTAAATTCAGAAGTACCCATTTCTAGAAGGTCAGACATTGCTTATAACAAGGACTGAGACATTTCCTTAATAAATACAATACAATCTTAAATAATGAAAGTCATTCTTTCTACTAGAAATGACCATGTCAGCATGCATATGTAGAGGCTGTTAATGTGGTTCAAAACAGAACAGAACAGGGGAAAGTTCACACATCGTTATTCAGTGATGACATCGGTCGGTAGAACTTCGAACAAACAAAGTAACAATCCATTCACATACTCCTGAGACCTAATGACATAAATTCTGTGTAGTGTTGTAGTAGTGTTCTGTTGGCCAACAACAGCTGTTTTACTTTCAAACCTGCCCATTTATCCAGAATCAAATTCACAAGGCATAGCTACTGTAGGTTAGAGCAAGCAGCAGAAAGTGCTAGAGCGTGAAGGTGAGGTAAAAAAGGCAAGGCCACACTTGAGATAATTTCACACTCTGAGGCAGCTAGGCGTCGGTGCAGCTCGGCGGGCAGGGCGTGCTTGGCAGTGGACAGTGATTGGTTGATGAGGCACTACCTGCTTACACCATTCTTCCAGTTGCCCCTCCCCGGCCTGCTGGGACAGTAAGGCTGCAGTAGTGGACCTGCCTGATAGCTCCTCCACCACCCAGTTATGAAGGGTCTGGGGCACAGTGGCAGGGGGGTAGAATTATGGGTATTGAACAAAGGAAAGCAGATGTTTATAGTAGTACACTACTATAAACCTAGACATGGTTATAGCTGTTAGCAGAGTCCTCCTGTGGGATGCAGGTCAGGTATATAAAGTTTGTTTCTATTATAAAACAATAAAAAGCAGGATGTTTTATTCCTTTAAAGATTATTTTTAGTCTACCTGTTTTTAATACCCTACAGCGTAAGGTACATCCTGTGTTAAAAACTAGTTGAGGACTTAATTTGGAACTAGCAGTGGTAGAAAAACAAACAACCCAAGAGTGAACACATGTCCTGCCACAGAACAGGGAGATAGCAGAGTCTTATCACAAGGTCATTTCTGGTGGCACATGGCTTCATTGCCAACATAAAATCTGTAGTAATTCAAATTACGTAAAACCCAGTGGCTCGATAGCTACATAACTAGATCTTAATATGGATAACATTTTAAAACTATTGAATGCATTTCCTCTAAAAGATGGTTTCTGAGTTTTGCTAAGATTTAACAACAAATTACTTAATCAAAGCGAATCAATCCCCTCAAAAAAAGTAATGCTGAATTCAGTTCAGGAAGTAATCTAGCTCCTGTACTATTAGCATTGCAGTATAATCATTGCTTTCTGCCTAGAAAGCTTGTTATTCAGATGGTACTTATTGAGCAGACCCTAGGGACTACGCCATAACTAGTAGTTCCTACTTCCCACTGAGACATACAGTGCCTATAGAACGTCTACACCCCCTTTGGATTTAATTTCAATTTTCTGTCAACAATCTACACAAAATACTCTGTAATGTCAAAGTGAAAACGTATATATATATATATTTTTGGATTAATGACAAATAAAACACTAAGTCAATACATGTTAGAAACACCTTTGGCAGCGATTACAGCTGTTAGTCTTCTTGGGAAAGTCTCATAAGAGCTTTGCACACCTGTATTGTGCAATATTTGCCTATTATTCTTTTCAAAATTCTTCAAGCTCTGTCAAGTTGTTGGGGATCATGGCTAGACAGCGATTTTCAAGTCTTGCCATAGATTTCCAAGCAGATTTATGTCAAAACTGTAACTCAGGAACATTCACTGTCTTCTTGGTAAGCAACTCCAGTGTAAATTTGGTTTTGTGCTTTAGGTTATTGACCTGCTGAAAGATGAATTCGTCTCCCAGTGTCTGATGTATTCCTCTCCCAGTGTTTGGTGTAAAGCAGACTGAACCAGGTTTTTCTCTAGGATTTTGCCTGTGCCTAGCTCTATTCCATTTCTTTTTATCCTAAAAAAACTCCCTAGTCCTTGCCAATGTCAAGCATACCCATACCATGATGCAGCCACCACCATGCTTGAAAATAAGGAGGCAGTTACTCTGTGATGTGTTGGATTTGCCACAAACATAAGGCTTTGCATTTAGGCCAAAAAGTGTATTACTTTACTGCATTGTTTCATACATTAACATATTTTGGAATATTTTCACTCAAATCCTTGACTGAGGGACCTTACAGATGTTGTATGTATGGGGGACAGAGGAAAGGGTAGTCATTCAAAAATCTTGTCAATCCCTATTATTTCACACAGAGTGAGTCCATATAACTTAGCATGTGATTTGTTAAGCAACATTTTACTTCTGAACTAATTTAGGCTTGCCTAAACGAAGTGGGTGAATACTTATGCAACAACTATATTTTAGTTATTTAATTAGAATTAATTTGTAAAAATGTGTCGAATTTTCTTTTAACTTTGACATTATGGAGTATTTTGTGTAGATCAATGACAAAAATTACATTTCAATCTAGTTCAATCCCACTTTGTAAAATGTGAAAAAAGTTCAAGAGGGTATAGACTTTCTATAGGCACTGTACCTTCCTGACGTCGGAGCTCTTGGGCTCTGTGGTCCAGGTAATGATGCGAGATACAGCCAGTCGGGTTTCACTGGAGTTGACAAAGTCTGTAGGATCCATCTGTTTTGCCAGTGACTCTATGTACTTCAGGATGGCCACCTTCACCTGCGTGATACACATGGTTTAGCTTCATGATTCACACATGGTTTAGCTTCATGATTCACAGTGTGTTATGCTATATGATTCACACAGGCATTTAGCAAGTTTACTTTTAAAATGTTTGACAATATCACCATTGTACTGTGTCTACTGGTATTTGAAATCATAAACTCTTAGACACAAAACCAATCCCTAAAACAAACAGAGAATCATCTAGCTAGGTGACATTCTCTGCATACTGTACCTTGAGGTTGGGTGTCTGTGTCTGGTCAACAATGAACCTCATCAGGATGTTGAACTGCTGATCAAACGGAAAAGACTCCCTAAGGAGAACAAAACAGAAAACAGTAACAGTTAGTGTATGAAATGAGCTACATAACTCTCAAAAGGTGTTTCACACACCGAGCAGGGTCAAATCAAACTCTACTGAGGTGGCCTGATTATACATCCACCATAGTTGGGTAATTCTCATGAAACTGTCCAAAAAAACAAACAATTCTCAAGTGTCATTTTTTGAAAATGTCCTCTTGAATCACTAAAATTAGGATCTGTACTTATCTATTTCATAATTATGTTTCTTGATCAGATATTATGCATTTTACCAACATTTTCACAAAATGGTCATTACGTAACAGTTTTCGATGTCCAAAAAAGTAATAAACAAATCAATATTTATAATATTTGATACATTGCTCACCTAATGAAAAGTCCTGAGTTAAACATAACACAGATATATATTTTTTCTCAAAATAAATTATACAAATATAATAATAATAAGACTTTCTCAATTTAAACTCTTTAGCCGTTTCCGTAATGAGAAGGCCAAATGGGTTAAAAGAGGTGTTTGAGAATAAGAACCTCATTCTGAAGGCATATAAGCGAATACATTTAACTAAGGACTACTCCTCTAGATGATGCATCATGGGTGAATAAAACTTTATTAAAACAATTCTTGGAGTTTTTACAGGAACTTGAAAATGTTTTACGGTAATGAGACATGTCCACATCAGACACTGTGTTTGTACGTAATAAATATTATAGTTGAATGTAAATATACAATTTTTATGATTTATGACAAACTACAGCAACATACAGTATTTTGTGTTTTATTCAAATAAGTTTGGTTTTTCTAAATAATGTTGTTAATAAAATGACCCGAGAATCTGAATTTGGTGTGAAAATGTACAAAATTCAGGCTAAAATGTAAAATGTATTTAAAATGAGACACTTTCCCAAAAACGAGACATCTTAGTCCTCAGAATGATAGTTGATAATGGTTTTGTAACTAATTTTGCTATAGACATTTTAAAACTGGTTTCATGAGAATCCCCCAGGTGCTGGAACAGTGCTGAAAAATAGTGTAAAAATAAAATATCCAAGCAAGCACAGTTTGGTTTGGGTCGGCATAGTATGAAAATGGTTAGAGATGTTATCGGAGGGGGGATTTAGAGGTCAATACCTGGTGATGTCCAGAGCCTTCTGGACCTTGGCCTGGACAGACCCCAGCAGGTCAGCTCCCATCTTCTTCAGTAGCTGGGTGAGCAGGACAAACAGCCAGTCCTGCAGGTCTTCTTTGTGCACCAAGATAAAGTCCAACAGAGTCTCCAGAAACATACTAAACACCTGAGGGACACACACAAAACGCTACCATCAACACCTGACAACATAGCCCCTTTATAAAAGTAACAACACAGGCAATAGGTGTCTGTACACTATAATATTTAAAGAATAAAAACACACACTTACTCTCTGTTGTTAACATCCACACCAAAGCAGACCATGCAACAAAACACTCAATTAGTTTTCAGACAAATCACTGCAAAGCAATGGGTTTTTGAATGTCAAAAGTAAAAGTTATGAGTGAGTTTATCAATGTATTGATATGAAACTTTCAAACACAGGTGAACATCCTGTCACCTACCTTGCTGTGTGGATCTGCAAACATCCTGCTGAAGATCTCACATAGTCTCTTCAGCTCCACTCGGCTGCAACACACAAAGCAGCATCCACCGGCAGACATTAGTAAACACAGGCAGACATCACTAATAGATGTCAGAGAGGCTTGATTTAAAGCAGCTCCTTCAGGAGACACAATGCTGCTGGCCTCACAGGGAAAGCAGGCAGACAAATGTCCTTGTCTCACAAACTAACTCGTCTGAAACTCATCTTCCACTTCACCACCTGACGGGCGGCTTTACACCTGCAGGCTCCTCGTGATCAGTCATTTCTCCCTCAATTAAGGAACGCTATGAAAAGAATCGCCCTGCTGGAATCTCCTTGACAGGCTCTCCTCTTTCAAAGTTGAACAATTGAAAAAAGGAAATTATCATAATATATGCAAAATAATCAAGACTACTTCAAACCCTATCCACAGCTGGCACAACATCCTAAACAACCCCAATTCTACTATCTCCAATGCCACCCAAAAAGACATCAAGGGGCCTTTATAATGCTTAGTGAACTATACATGACAGCGTTAGGAGCAGATCAGCATAGTTACAGCAGGAAGACACATACAACGACATGACCCCCTGGCCCCGGACCCACCTGAGTATTCTTTGGTTCTTGAGTAGATTCTGCAGACCCAGCAGCCCCTCCTTCCTCTCTGACCAGTTTGAGCTGGCACAGTGGTTTAGCACCTCCGCCACATCCTCCGTTTGACGCAGGTAGTGAGGGATACCTAGATAATAATGATAATAATATATACACTACCGTTCAAAAGTTTGGGGTCACTTAGAAATGTCCTTGTTTTCGAAAGAAAAGCAATTGTTTTGTCCATCAAAATAACATCAAATTGATCAGAAATACGGTATAGACATTGTTAATGTTGTAACTGGCTATTGTAGCTGGAAATGGCTGATTTGTAATGGAATATCTACATAGGCGTACAGAGGCCCATTATCAGCAACCATCAGTCCTGTGTTCCAATGGCACATTGTGTTTGCTAATCCAAGTTTATCATTTTAAAAGGCTAATTGATTATTAGAAAACCTTTTGCAATTATGTTAGCACAGCTGAAAACTGTTGTGCTGATTAGAAGAAGCAATAATAAGAGTTGCAAAGAAAAAGCCATATCTCAGACCGGCCAATAAAAAGAAAAGATTAAGATGGGCAGTCTGAGATATGGCTTTTTCTTTGCAACTCTGCCTAGAAGGTCAGCAACCCGGGGTCGCCTCTTCACTGTTGACGTTGAGACTGGTGTTTTGCGGGTACTATTTAATGAAGCTGCCAGTTGAGGACCTGTGAGGCGCCTGTTTCTCAAACTAGACACTCTAATGTGTTTGTCCTCTTGCTCAGTTGTGCACCGGGGCCTCCCACTCCTCTTTCTATTCTGGTTAGAGGCAGTTTGCGCAGTTCTGTGAAGGGACTAGTACCAAGCGTTGTACGAGATCTTCACTTTCTTGGCAATTTCTCGCATGGAATAGCCTTCATTTCTCAGAACAAGAATAGACTGACGAGTTTCAGAAGAAAGTTATTTGTTTCTGGCCATTTTGATCCTGTAATCGAACCCACAATTGCTGATGCTCCAGATACTCAACTAGTCTCAAGAAGGCCAGTTTTATTGCTTCTTTAATCAGCACAACTGTTTTCAGCTGTGCTAACATAATTGCAAAAGGGTTTTCTAATGATCAATTAGCCTTTTAAAATGATAAACTTAGATTAGCAACAACATGCCATTGGAACACAGGACTGATGGTTGCTGATAATGGGCCTCTGTATGCCTATGAAGATATTCCATAAAAAAATCAGCCGTTTCCAGCTACAATAGCCATTTACAACATTAACAATGTCTACACTGTATTTCTGATAAATTTGATGTTATCTTAATGGACAAAAAAATTGCTTTTCATTCGAAAACTTTTGAACGGTAATGTATACCATTCAGAATATGCTTTTATCCAAGTGCATACATTTTAGTCTATGTGAATCTAGTGGGATTCGAACCCACTACCCTTGTGTTGCTAGCGCCATGTTCTTACCAACTGAGTAACACAGGACCACATACCTCCGTTCCTGGACCCGTACGAGCGCTCCGAGCAAGCGCTGGACGCATCGCTGTTAGCATCGTCGTCAGAATAGATACCTGGAGACTCATACCGCCGCCTTATAGGCTTCCTCTGTTGGGAGAGAATGGGGAGGGATGGGTAATGGTGAGGTCATAGTTCATAGGACCAGAAGAGAAGTGGGACAGGCAGGCTAGAACTCTGGTCACTCAAACTCAGCCAGGAAGTAGGATTTAATGGGCTACGCTACGATGCACAACTTCTATGCGTTTGCCATTCACAATGAATGAGGTAGCCATGCAATTTGTTCCAACTCTTGATTTTATGAGATTATTAAATTATGTTATAAGAATGCCTATTGTTAATAATATTTTATTGAATAATAAACTAAATATGCCAGTAATTGCTTTTTGCCAAATAGCAACATTTAGTGATTATACTTTGCATTTTTGTTGATTAGTGAATAGAATGAATAAACAAACGGTACACAAATTGGACAACTACCTTATTTCTGGAGTCTCCTAATAGCTGAAGTTACAGGCAACCAAGGAGAAAAGAGGAAAGACAGATATTTTAAAGGGTGTCAAGAAGGGAAAATATTATGACTGCAGTCCTGCTTGGCAATAAGATAAGACATGTTTTAATTAATTTCTCTACACAGTAACAATGTTGACTTACTTTCAGCCAGAGTCTTTCTTCTTGAGATACACAAACAGAGGCTTGATTTCATCTCATTACATTTTACTACTCAATGCAGTTTTCTTTTCTGACAAAGGCAAAACCCCTGGAATTCATTAGTTTTTAGGAGGGCCCACTGTAAACATCTAAACACTGACTTACAAACGCATATGGCTTCCACATCAAGTCCTCAGCCATTAACTAGCATGCCTTAATGAGGGACTGACTTGCTGTCACTCTATCGTAAGTCAAACTGTCGTGATGTCTTCAGAACTGACAGCTGGTAAGAGTTGATTGGTGACTTACCAGTGCATCAGCCACAGCAGCCTCGACCTCAGTGCCAGTGTTGAGGACTTTCATGGCGTTTACTGAGGCAGAGATGCGGTCCTGGTGGATCAAACCAAACCGATCTGGGGGGGTGGAGTAACAGAGGAGAAGTGAGTGGAGTAACACAGGAGAAAGTCAATGGGATCTTGCTCTAGGGAGACAAAAAGGCAATATGATGGGGTTTACAGACCATACACCAAAAAGCTTGAAACTAAAAAACACAAAAAAGCTGGAAACAAAAACAAAAATCTTGAGTGATATGTAAAAAATGATTGCTGAAATAAAGATGAAGACACCAACAGAAATCACTAGAGAATGATTAGTGCTCATTTGAAACACCTCGTGAAAAATGAAGAGAAAAGAAACCTACTGACACTTGTAGACGGGGAAATGAAAAACTCATGAGATACTCAATACACTGAAGTACAAATACATCATACAATGTCAAAAAAGTCACTAACAAGGAGAAAATCATACATGGGGACAGGCATTACGATTACACAGTAACACAAGCTTTTTCAAATAAAATCACAAAACATTATATTGAAGCAGATGGCCACAACACATACTATGACAAAGCAGCACGCTTATAGATCTCCTCCTCAAAGAAAAGAAAATACCATTACAAGCTTCAAAACTCAAACAAAAGTTTGAAAGAAATGTTGCCTCTTGTGGCAGGGTGGGCACAGCCCTCAAAGCAACATGTACGGACTCATGCTGGCATAATCGCTAATATGGGGATGGGGAGGGGCATGCAGGTCACCTGACTGGCCGTGGGGGTCAGCCGTAGATAGGGCGCTGGTAGAGCGGGAAGTACGTCGGGAGGCTGCAAGGGACAGGAGGGGTAGATGACACCCGGGGCATTAGTGACACAAACGCGACAGGTATCATCTTCTGTAGCTGACTCAGGCTCAGCGCCTAGCTGCATTAATCCACTAGGATTATGACCAACCACATAATATAAATAATATGCCATTTAGCAGACGCTTTTATCCAAAGCGACTTACAGTCATGTGTGTATACATTTTTACGTATGGGTGGGAGGGGCGGGTATCCCTCATGCATCCCACTTTGTCCCTCTTTTGTTCATTTTTGTTTGTCCCCCATGTCAAAGCAGTGACAAAGTTTTGTCATTTCCTGTGATGTGGCAGCAGCACAGGAAAGAGCTGAGAAGCAGGTCAGCTATGGACATTGAATACGATGACATACAGTACAATGTTTACTGTAGTCACTGCCTTTTTTCTCTGCCTCTTGATGTAGATTTATTATGAGATGTGCCAAATCATTTATAGTACATAAATCATTGGACCAAAAACAGAATCCTAGAACATCCAGAGATTTTTGTGATCTTTCCATTTAGCTGGTCATTATATAACAAATACAAAGACACAAAAACATACTAATATAGCACAACACGGAGCATTCCCAACAAGACAGACAAAGACAGTGCAGCGATTATGTTCCAGAACCTTTGAGAGGGTTAGTGCATGTAGAGTAGATCAGAGTAGGCAAAAGAAGAGGTCTATACCCCTTAGTTCTAGAGGTGGATCTTCTATCTAGACATCCTGGGGTGTACAGGGAGGCTGGGACAGAGAGTAGGGGTCTAGAGGAGTGTGTACTAGTGGGCCTTGCTGCTTCCAGGAGGCCTCCTGGTGTCCGGTTGGTCGTGGTACTCACCAAGAGGCTTGAAGGCCCGAGCAGGGCTGGTGTCTCTGCTGCTTTCCCTAGAGGTTTCCCTGCTGCAGCCCTGACTCATGCTGGGCCGGGGGATACGGCTCCTCGCTAGCGTGGTAGGACGAGAGAGGAGTACCAGGAACAAGAGCTTTATCACACAGCCTGGCTGTCAGTAGGACAGTATAACACAGGTTTGGGGTGTGAGGTGAGGCCTGGGGTGGGGCTGGGGATGGGGACTGGGAGAAGAGTGGGGTAGGAGGTCTCTGGGGCGTGGTGGTGGGTTGGAGTCTGCTGGACATCAGATTACATTTTACAAACATAAGTTAGCGCAAGTCCGTTTTTTAAATGTTTTTGTTATTTCATGACAAGGATTAGGTTGTCAGTGACAAGATGATTGTTATGACCTTAGCTTACAACAGATATACAGAGTTAACACACAAAATAAAAACAGAAAAATAAAAAATAAAAAAAAGATTTAAAATAAGGTATAAAAATAAAGATATGGTAGAAACACCAAAGAAAATTAAAGACAAACTGTTATATTCAGTTATTATATGTTCTAATAAAATATATGAACTAAACATGACTAAGAAGAAGACAAACGTACAAACTTTAAAACATTGCAACGTGTAATTGTCAATTTCGTGAATCCATAATGTTTAAATCTCATCCATGGACAGATGTAAAAAAGGCGGCCTTCCCAATTCAGGGATGACGGTGTTGTTCACAACAGACTGACAGACAGACAAAGAGGGTGACCTCAGACAGAACACTGATAACAAGCCAAGATGTGGGGAGCTGGTTGGTCGATGAAATACACCGACCAATCAATCAAAGCAATAGGACAGGGCCAGTGACTCAGACTGAATCTAAGGAAGGACATAAGCTGGGCTGCTGATGACAGCTAGACCTACAGAGGCTCATCCACATTTCCTGAAAGAGGAGGCACCACCCCAATGATGGGACATGCCTGGAAGATGTGACGCTAACAAATATGACCAAGATGAGAGACACTTCCTAAAACAGTGAGTTCTACTTAGCTGCTAACCCTGAGAGACAGGCTCATACCATTCACTCTCCTTTACAAGGGGCCTTGCGCCTTTTCGCATTCAGTATTTTGTTATTCAGTATTTTGCCATTCAGTATTTAACATTTACATTTTAGTCATTTAGCAGATGCTCTTATGCAGAGTGCCTTGCTCAAGGGCACGTCGACAGATTTTTCACCTAGTCGGCTCAGCGATTTGAACCAGCAAACTTACGGTTACTGGCCCAACACTCTTAACCCTAAAGCTACCTGCCGCCCCCTTTGAGTTCAAAGGGTCCATTGGTCCTTCATAACATTACTATGCGGGTTCCTTGCTTTCAAGGCTTATCTTTTGTGTTTATTGTGTTTCTTTGTTTTGTGTTTATGACCGGGAAAACCAAGATAGTGTATCTGAGCTTCAAAGGACACACTTGGTGTACAGTATAGATAAGGTTTTCACTAGATAGATAGGAGTGCACAATGACAATGTTGGGCATATCACCGTCATGTTTTGACACATGGCCCTCGACAGCATGTGTGTGGTATTCTATTTATCAGCATACATATGCTGTCTGTTATGTATGTGTATCCAGTGTGTAGGTGATACTGTACAATACACTGTTTATTTAGGCAGTTACTTAGTTACTATGTGCGTTGCTAGCAAATGGCAAATCTATTTTTCCTAGTATAGAGTGAATACATGATTTATGTTGTGTTTACTTGCACGATGCTGAAATTGTTACATCATGTAAATGTCCCTTACCTAGTCCCAGTCGGCTGGGAGAGGAATCTCTACTGCAGCCCTGGCTGCGGGGGACCTTGCTCCTCTTGTCTACAGGGGTGCTGGAGGCTGAGGGGGGCCTGCTGATCCTCCCGTACCCAGACGAGTGGCCCAGCAGCTTCCCAGGGGAACTGGAGCGACTGCCAGCTGCAGGAAGGACAACACACAGGAGTCACAGGCAGAGTGTGAAATGACACACCCTTTCAGACACGATGGGTCACAGCGAGCGGAGCGACGCACCTCTCCATGGCATGCTGGGAAGGTTCTGTCACTGCTCAAAGCTGAATTCGCTCATATTCTACCTCCCTCTTTCTGGAGGAATATTTAATTACTTAAATGTTTCTAATGGCATATGTTGCTTTTATTGTAGTAATAAAATAATAATATACAACACTTAGCAGACACTTTTATCTAAAGCGACTTACAGTAAAGTGAGTGCATAATGTGCATGTGATTCCAGTAGGAATTGAACCTACAACCTTGGCTTTACTAGTGCCACACTCTTACCAACTGAGCACATATCTCTGTGTGTTTACAGTGACTTGGTGATTCGGAGGGGAATAATTCACAGAATGTCTAACCAACACTTGAGGTAATAGGACCAATGACATTCTCTATCTATCCTACTAGGTGGATAACATAGATATTGGATTTCAGCTTTGATGAGATAGATAGGGAGGGACATACAAACAGCTAATAAACAGTTGCAGGACAAACAAGATTGGTTGAATCCAGGGTCTAACTGGGCTGTGGGAAAACCAACCAGTGATTACAACAACAACAACAACAACAACAACAACAACAACAACAACAACAACAACAACAACAACAACAGTTCAGAGGACATAGACAACAACCAACAACTGACAACAAAATGTACCAATCAAAACGCTTGTGAGACTAAAATAATAAATCATAATCCATTACAGGCACTTGAGTTGAATGGAGCATGCTGGTATGACATGAGTCTAAAACTAAAATAATGAGTTGATTGACATGCAGAGATCTGCACAGGGAGGAAGGGGCGGGACTAAAGACTTGATGCTTTACTCTGATTGGATGAAGTCCGGGCCTTACCACCGCCAGTGGGGTTAGCAGATCTGGATCCTGTGGTTGTTATGGTAGCGAGCGGCAGAACAGGACGTGAAAATAAAACGGTCAATGTGACAGGGAGTAGTGTTAGCCCAGCATGCACTGGGCCAGATGTTAACTGTGCATGTCATGTTACACGTGCAAATATATAATTGAAGCCCCTCATCGAGGCTTCACAGGGAGAGGGGGAGAGAAAACCACACATACATCTTCTGAAAGGGTGCACTAATAACAGTGGCTCCAAGTTCCTTCAGGATGTTAAAGTTTATGAGGTAAAACATCACACAAACTGACGAGAGAAACTGAAGAGAACCTAGTATATAAACTGAAGAGAACCTAGCCCATAGGGCGGCGCACAATTGGCCCAGCGTCGTCCGGGTTTGGCCGGTGTAGGCCGTCATTGTAAATAAGAATTTGTTCTTAACTGACTTGCCTAGTTAAATGAAAGGTAAAATAAATCAATAAATATATATATATATATATATACACAGTGCATTCGGAAAGTATTAAGACCCCTTCCCTTTTTCCAAATTTTGTTACTTCACAGCCTTATTCTAAAATGGATTAAATAAATGTTTTTCCTCATCAATCTACACACAACAACCCATAATGACAAACCGAAAACAGGTTTTTAGAAGTCTTTGCAAATTTATAAGAAATAAAAAACAGAAATACCTTATTTACATACACTACCGTTCAAAGGTTTGGGGTCACTTAGAAATGTCCTTGTTTTCGAAAGAAAAGCAATTTTTTTGTCCATTAAAATAACATCAAATTGATCAGAAATACAGTGTAGACATTGTTAATGTTGTAAATGGCTATTGTAGCTGGAAACGGCTGATTTTTAATGGAATATCTACATAGGCGTACAGAGGCCCATTATCAGCAACCATCAGTCCTGTGTTCCAATGGCACGTTGTGTTTGCTAATCCAAGTTTATAATTTTAAAAGGCTAATTGATCATTAGAAAACCCTTTTGCAATTATGTTAGCACAGCTGAAAAGTGTTGTGCTGATTAAAGAAGCAATAAAACTGGCCTTCTTGAGACTAGTTGAGTATCTGGAGCATCACCAACTTGTGGGTTCGATTACAGAATCAAAATGGCCAGAAACAAATAACTTTCTTCTGAAACTCGTCAGTCTATTCTTGTTCTGAGAAATGAAGGCTATTCCATGCGAGAAATTGCCAAGAAAGTGAAGATCTCGTACAACGCTGTGTACTACTCCCTTCACAGAACAGCGCAAACTGTCTCTAACCAGAATAGAAAGAGGAGTGGGAGGCCCCGGTGCACAACTGAGCAAGAGCACAAATACATTAGTGTCTAGTTTGAGAAACAGACGCCTCACAGGTCCTCAACTGGCAGCTTCATTAAATAGTACCTGCAAAACACCAGTCTCAACGACAACAGTGAAGAGGCGACTCCGGGATGCTGACCTTCTAGGCAGAGTTGCAAAGAAAAATACATATCTCAGACTGGCCAATACAAAGAAAAGATTAAGATGGGAAAAATAACACAGACACTGGACAGAGGAAGATTGGAAGAAAGTGTTATGGACAGACGAATCGAAGTTTGAGGTGTTCAGATCACAAAGAAGAACATTTGTGAGACGCAGACCAAATGAAAAGATGCTGGAGGAGTGCTTAATGCCATCTGTCAAGCATGGTGGAGGCAATGTGATGGTCTGGGGGTGCTTTGGTGGTGGTAAAGTGGGAGATTTGTACAGGGTAAAAGGGATCTTGACGAAGGAAGGCTTTCACTCCATTTTGCAACACCATGCCATACCCTGTGGACAGCGCTTGATTGGAGCCAATTTCCTCCTAGAACAGGACAATGACCCAAAGCACAGCTCCAAACTACGCAATAACTATTTAGGGAAGAAGCAGTCAGCTGGTATTCTGTCTATAATGGAGTGGCCAGCACAGTCACCGGATCTCAACCCTATTGAGCTGTTGTGGGAGCAGGTTCTTGAAAGGCCCGTTTTACTGCCCTCTAACCAATTGTACTATTATGTGTGTTTTTTCGCGTTATTTGTAATTTATTCTGTACATAATGTTTCTGCCACTGTCTCTAATGACCAAAAAGAGCTTCTGGATATCAGGACAGCGATTACTCACCGCGTATTGGACGAAGATTTTTTCTTCAACAAGTCGGACACAAAGGATATCCTACAGACACCCGACAAGGCCCAAATCCCTGTCATTTGCATGAGAAAGAGACAGAGATATCATGGACGTAGGTCGGGGTGCCTTGTAAGGATCTGACAGTGAGCTAGTAAACTGCCTCTTTCATCAATCCTATTAGCCAATGTTCATACATTTGAAAATACATTAGACAACCTAAGATTACGATTATCCTACCAACGGGACATTAAAAACTGTAATATCTTATGTTTCACCGAGTCGTGGCTGAACAACGACATGGATAACATAGCTGGCGGGATATACTCTACATTGGCAGGACAGAACGGCTGACTCCGGTAAGACAAGGGGTGGCGGTCTGTGTATATTTCTAAACAACAGCTGGTGCATAAAATGTAATACTAAGGAAGTCTCGAGGTTTGCTCACCTGATGTAGAGTATCTTATGATAAGCTGTAGACCACACTATTTACCAAGAGAGTTTATCTGTAGCTCAATGGCGCTTGTAACGCCAGGGTAGTGGGTTCGATCCCCAGGACCACCCATACGTAAAAATTTATGCACACATGACTGTAAGTCGCTTTGGATAAAAGCGTCTGCTAAATGGCATATTATTATTATCTATATTTTTCGTAGCTGTCTATTTACCACTACAAACCGATGCAGGCCCTAAGATTGCACTCAATGAGCTGTATAAGGCCATAAGTAAACAGGAAAACGCTCATCCAGAGGCAGCGCTCCTAGTGGCCGGGGACTTTAATGCAGGGAAACTTAAATCCGTTCTCCCTAATTTCTACCAGCATGTTAAATGATAAAACTCTAGACCACCTTTACTCCACACACAAAGCTCTCCCTTGCCCTCCATTTGGCAAATCTGACCATATCTCTATCCTCCTGATTCCTGCTTATAAGCAAAAACTAAAGCAAGAAGCACCAGTGACTCGGTTAATAAGGAAGTGGTCAGATGACGCAGATGCTAAGCTACAGGACTGTTTTGCTAGCACAGACCGGAATATGTTCCGGGATTCTTCCGATAGCATTGAGGAGTACACTACATCAGTCACTGGTTTCATCAATAAGTGCATCGATGACGTCGTCCACACAGTGACCGTACGTACATACCCCAACCAGAAGCCATGGATTATAGGCAACATCCGCACTGAGCTAAAGGGTAGAGCTGCCACCTTCAAGGATCGGGACTCTAACCCAGATGCTTATAAGATATCCCGCTATGCCCTCCGACAAGCCATCAAAAAGGCAAAGCGTCAATACAGGACTAAGATTGAATCGTACTACACCGGCTCTGATGCTCGTTGGATGTAGCAGGGCTTGAAAACTATTACAGACTACAAAGGGAAGCACAGCCACGAGCTGCCCAGTGACACAAGCCTACTAGACAAGCTAAATCACTTCTATGCTCGCTTCGAGGCAAGCAACACTGAAGCATGCATGAGAGCATCAGCTGTTCCGGTTGACTATGTGATCAAGCTCTCTGTAGCCGATGTAAGTAAAACTTTTAAACAGGTCAACATTCACAAGGCCGCAGGGCCAGACAGATTACTAGGACGTGTACTCCGAGCATGCGCTGACCAACTGGCAAGTGTCTTCACTGACATTTTCAACATGTCCCTGACTGAGTCTGTAATACCAACATGTTTCAAGCAGACCACCATAGTCCCTGTGCCCAAGAACACTACGATAACCTACCTAAATGACTACCGACCCGTAGCACTCACGTCTGTAGCCATGAAGTGCTTTGAAAGGCTGGTCATGGCTCACATCAACACCATTGTCCCAGAAACCCTAGACCCACTCCAATTTGCATACCGCCCCAACAGATCCACAGATGATGCAATCTCTATTGCAGTCCACACTGCCCTTTCCCACCTGGGACATGATTTGGAAAGGCACACACCTGTCTATATAAGGTCCCACCGTTGACAGTGCATGTCAGAGCAAAAACCAAGCCATGAGGTCGAAATAATTGTCCGTAGAGCTCTGAGACAGGATTGTGTCGAGGCACAGATCTGGGGATGGGTACCAAAAAATGTCTGCAGCATTGAAGGTCCCCAAGAACACAGTGGCCTCCATCATTCTTAAATGGAAGAAGTTTGGAACCACCAAGATTCTTCCTAGAGCTGGCCACCCGGCCAAACTGAGCAATCAGGGGAGAAGGGCCTTGGTCAGGGAGGTGACCAATAACCCAATGGTCACTAACAGAGCTCTGGAGTTCCTCTGTGGAGATGGGAGAACCTTCCAGAAGGACAACCATCTCTGCAGCACTCCACCATTCAGGCCTTTATGGTAGAGGGGCCAGACGGAAGCCACTCCTCTGTAAAAGGCAAATGACAGCCTGCTTGGAGTTTGCCAAAAGGCACCTAAAGGACTCTTAGTCCATGAGAAACAAGATTCTCTGGTCTGACGAAACCAAGATTGAACTCTTTGGCCTGAATGCCAAGCGCCATGTCTGGAAGAAACGTGGCACCATCCCTATGGTGAAGCATCATGCTGTGGGGATGTTTTTCAGCGGCAGGGCCTGGGAGACTAGTCAGGATCGAGGGAAAGATGAACGGCGCAAAGTGCAGAAAGATCCTTGATGAAAACCTGCTCCAGATCGCTCAGGACCTCAGACTGGGGCGAAGGTTCACCTTCCAACAGGACAACAACCTTAAGCACCCTACCAAGACAACGCAGGAGTGGCTTCGGGACAAGTCTCTGAATGTCCTTGAGTGGCCCAGCCAGAGCGCGGACTTGAACCCAATCGAACATCTCTGGAGAGACCTGAAAATAACTGTGCAGCGATGACCCCCATCCAACTTGACAGAGCTCGAGAGGATTTGCAGAGAAGAATGGGAGAAACTCCCCAAATGCAGGTGTGCCAAGCTTGTAGCATCATACCCAAGAAGACTCGAGACTGTAATCGCTGCCAAAGGTGCTTCAACAAAGTACTGAGTAAAGGGTCTGAATTCTTATGTAAATGTGATATCAGTTTATTATTTTAAATCAATTCGAAAAAAATCTAAAAACTAGTTTTTTCTTTGTAATTATGGGGTCTTGTGTGTAGATTGATGAGGGGGGGAAACAATTTAATCAATTTTAGAATAAGGGATCTGAATACTTTCCGAATGCACTGTAAACTGAAGAGAATCTAGTATATAAACTGAAGAGAACCTAGTATATAAACTGAAGAGAACCTAGTATATAAACTGAAGAGAACCTAGTATATAAACTGGAGAGAACCTAGTATATAAACTGGAGAGAACCTAGTATATAAACTGGAGAGAACCTAGTATAAAAACTGAACTGAACCTTGTATATAAACTGGAGATGTAGTATGAGCTCACAGCAGACAGGTTAAAGGTCATACTGGGGGTTTACATGAGAGTGAGAGAGACTGGAGATGACATTGTGGACTGGCTTCCCTGAGTTCAGACCATGTGCTGTGAGGGAGTGAAATTGGTCTCGGGTTATTTTGCTGACAGTGTGTGTGCGTACTCACGCTGGGACTGGGATACCATTTTGGCTCGGCTGCGCCCCCTGCTGTCAGTCACAGTAGCGCTGGCTCCGACGGCACTGCCGGCGCTTGTCCTCCTCGTACGCACACGACCTGTAGACAACAACACACACAGCGAGTTAGTGAGAGAGTTTAAGTCACTACACTACAAATTATACTGTATCCAAGCAGCTGTGCACCACAGTTCACCACGACACAAAACTGAAAGAAACTGCTTTAAAACAGACAGTGACAAAATATCTGGATGGGGAGAGAGAGTCTTCTGAAACACAGATATAAGGAGAGACAAACAACTGAATATTTCTACACATTCACACAAAGAACACCTTCTCACTGAAGGGTTCCATCAGAAATGCATTGGATCTGAGAAAGGTTTGTCTAAAGCAGCTAGCAACATCATGACAACACAACTTTCTTTACAGTACGTCAAACTGTGCATATTATACACAATGTAAGATATTAATTTGCAAAATCATAAATAAAAGAACACTGGCATTATCATACTTGCAATCCAGCCAAGTAATGTTCCTAAAAGCTAGGACAACACACTGACTGATGCTGAGAAAGAGATTGGGGAGTTCAGATGTCTGCTAATTTTGGACTGTGTTATCAAACAAGTAGTCTTACATTTTTCCACCAAACCTCTCCAATTTTAGATCTACAGACACACATGCACTCCCAAACACCACACATTGAGAATTTCTCTTTCCACAACAGCTGGGACTTGGCCATAGCTGGGACTTGGCTAAGTAACACCTTAGCCCAGGGTTTCCCAAAGTCAGTCTACACACAGCGTGTGTAGACTGATAATAAGACTCATTATTGGCTAAGACAGGGTTTCCAAACTCAGTCCAGCTGTGTAATGCTAGGGCAAAAACCAAAATGTGCACCCGGCGGAGGCAGGACCGAGTTTGGAAACCCTGCCTTAGCCAATAATGAGTCTTATTATCAGTCTACACACGCTGTTTGATAGAATGTGGGCAGAAGCTGTGACCTTATTTTCATTGGAAGATGTTTGATAGGCGAAGTCCTACTCAGTCAGAGAGTGTTGTACTAGATTCTAGAACAACCGCATTACACAACAGGATAGGGAAAGCCCTTTCTTTGGGTCTATAAAGTCTATCAGTGACATCTAGATAATGATAAGAGTATAAGTATATACCAGGGACTAAACATTTTCAACCAAGAGGTAGAGGATAACCTTGAGAAGCAGGTAACACTAAACCTCAGCAACATCTGACTCCTTAAATCGGACCACTTACACACAGACAGAGACCAAAGGGTGGGAGAGTTTCACTGCATGCAACATTCACCTTTACATACATAACACAGGGTCCTTGCCCTTCGCTAATCACTAATAAACAAAACGTAAAGGATAACAACATAAGGAGGATAACAAAAGTTGTGGGGGGGGAGGTGAGGTTTTATGGTGTGCTGTGCTGACTGCACATAGCTATCTAACCCTGTCTGTCGTCAGTCAACAGTGATTATTACCATGTTGGTCAAACATGCAGACCACATAACACACTAAATAGGTTGTACGTTGGTGTGTAGACAAGATAGAAAAGAGGGGGGGGGGGGGGGGGTCAGCCGAGCTTTTGACTGTCCCCGACAGACGCAGAACACATACATACAGATCTTACCAGTATGAATTTTACCAGGTGTGCCATCTTTTGGGCATAAAGCAAAGCGGGGGGCGGTGGGTGAAGAGAGGTATAGAGTTAGACATTAGTACCAGTTAGCCGAGAGAGATAAATAGAGCGAGAGTGAGAAAGAGGGAGAGAGAGAGAAAGAGGGAGAGATAAAGAAAGAGAGTGAAAGAGAGAGATATAAAGATGGAGAGAGAGAGAAAGAGAGAGATAGAAAGATGGAGAGAGAGAAAGAGAGCGAAAGAGAGAGGGAAAGAAAGAGGGGGAGAGAGAGAAGGGGGAGAGACAGAGACAGGTGGGTGGGAGAAAGAGGTCACATTAGTAATGGACAGTAAGCAGTAAAATCCACAGGGACGCGTTAGGGCAAGAACAGAGGGACAGCAACTGGATTGCAGCACGCCTCAGTATCAAATTGCATACATTTTGGGGGTATATGGAGAGTTTTTCATCATTATTTATCATGGACTTCAATATTTATATAATGGTCAGTAGTCATATCTTAAAGTGATTACAGGCAGCTATTTATCATGTTTAGTTTAATTAGTTTACATACAAAACTTTGCAGCCTGTCTATCTGCACATTTTGGCCTTTTTGTCTGTTTCTTGTTTCTCTTCAGAGCACAGCTTAATGATGTCTTACTAACAACCATCACATTAATTAATATCTCCAATCAGGCCATAAAAGCCAGTGGTTTTCAGATTTTAATTTATTCTAAATAATTTAATTAAGACACCATGGTGACTTTGAGAAATGACTGTTCCAGAACTGACATCCTGTGACCATTACATTTTTAAATGTTGACTGGTGGTAGTTCGGGCTTGGCATAGATGGACCTGGGGAGAGGGGTAGAGTGTGTGTGTGTGTTAGGGATGGACACGTTTATTTGAATATTCAAATATCCGAACGGGCGTTAGTATTCGACTACTACATGTATATACATTTTTAAAGGTTTTGTCTCAAATTAAATAAAAGTGTCTATGTTACATTGCCACATAGCCTACAATGATAGACCATTACATACATTTTTTAAATAAAACCACAGTTTTATGACAGTTTTTATGTGTGCCCCATAAAAAAGACTTACCGGTAACCTACAGACGTTTCACAGGTGTAGCTTGTTGTTTTGTCGGTCAATCACAGCGGCGCTACAGTCAGAGGCTATGTGTAGCAAGTGAAGTGGGAGATTTCTAATCAATGCTAAATGGAATTAACATGACGTAATTAAGTTGGCTAAATGAGAAAGCGTAGGCTACAATGACCAACCAGCAGGTTTCATATGAATGGAGTTGTTGTAGACATGGGATGGGGAGTGCAGCAAATTAGCCTCAATTAGCCTTGTTACTTTAGCTAGCTAGCTAGATAACTTAGCTGGCTACTGTAACTAGCTAGCTTCTTTATAACGATTTGATGCAGTGAAAACAGGCACTACCCGATGGTATGATCGATAACTTATGGCAGAAACAAGTTTGTCTAACTAGCGCGAGTCAGTTTGGCTACTTTCTGTCTCTCTCTCTCCATGCCACACATAGACTGTCACACACACACACCGGCCTCTGCTCATCTCCCGCCCCTACCCCACCCGCTGAAACAAGCAGAGCACAGCGCACCGGCTCTCTCACGAGCAAGTCTCCATTGACATGTATTTCGACTATCTGGATATCCGAAGAAATATCATGATATTATTTGAATAATGAAATCATTTAAAATGCCCATCCCTAGTGTGTGTGGGGTTTACCTAGAGAGGCGTAGGAGCCTGGGGGCAGAGCAGCGGCTGAGCTGAAGGGAGAAGCGGAGGGCACGATAACCAGACGGGATTTGGCGCTGGCCGCGGCATTCACATCGATGTCACTACGGGAACGCTGGAGAGAACCGCCTGGGTTAGAGTTCACCCTGGAACTCACCATCTTACCTGCCATCGGGGAGAACGGGAGAGGTTGAAATATCAACACATTCTACATTTAAATAGTCTGTATTTAGTCTCACCGAGGAAAAAATTATCATCGGATTTGCAAGAGAGACCTGACATAACCCACAAATAGAAAGAGGTGGCATGAAATAAACAACACATGTTGAGAAATTAATACTGTAGTAGCTAGTACTCTTACCCCTTGTTATGCTGCCACCTATGACACTCTTGACAGACAGGGGCCGGCTGAGGAGAGAGAAGGACACACCATTATGGAGTTATTGTAAACAGCTCAGTATCCCTGTACTTCACACTAACAAAACAAAGTCATAGGCCAGGGCTCAGAGCCCTCTGATGGTGTAGGGCAAAACATGATTCAAACTACCAGTGACTCAAACTGCCAAAGACATTATAAAAGGTAAAGGTCTGGACACCAGTTCAGGGCTCAGACCCATCTGATGATGAGGATGATGATGCAGGGGGAAAGAACATCCTTAGAGGAAGATTAGCTCACTCTCTCCAGTCGTTAAACTGGATCAACCGATTCAATCTACCTCAGTGTGTCCATGAGGAAGACAAATCCATTAGTGGTGTCTTCAAATCAATGATAAATGGTCTTTATCCACATCATCCTGAATCATATGGAGGAAGGGATAAATAGAGGGGAGGGAGGGATGGAGTCTTACTTGAGGCTCTTCTGAGAGGAGGAAGAGGAGCCGTCTGACTGGGGGAAGTGGTTGATGGATGAAAGTAAACCGGGATGGAGGGAAGGAGGGAGGGATAGAGGGAGAGGTAGAAGGAGGGGTATCTTACTTGAGGCTCTCCTGAGAGGAGGAGGATGAGCGGTCTGATTGGGGGAGGGACACAATGCTGTCAGAACTTTTCAGGTGAGACTGGAGAGCCTTCTGATAGCTCGACTCCAGGGCCTGGAACAGATGCTCTGCCTCCCGGCTGTAGTGGCCATGGAAACCCCAATAACACCTATGGGTGAGGGGGGGGGGAGAAGAAGGTTAGAGGTCACATGAAGGTCACAGCCCCTCCTATCAGTACATGAACAGAACTGTCAGCACACGTAATTTTTTTAAAACATTTTAGTCATTTAGCATACACTCTTATCCAGAGCGACTTACAGTAGCAATTAGGGTTAAGTGCCTTGCTCAAGGGCACATCGCCAGAGCCTTCTCGGCTCTGGGATTCAAACCAGCAAACTTTCAGTTACTGGCCCAACGCTCTAACCACTAGGCTACCTGCCACCCACATGCCTCTGATAGGTCACCAGCAGAGAAAGTGACATGAGACGATGCCCAGAGGAATTAATAATTGTTCTAATTATCACTAGTAGTAAAATAAGCGACACAGAGAGATGTAATTTTATTCCAAATTGTCATCCACTTGTATCAGTCATGAAATCATAAAGCAATATATTACTTTTTACAAAACTGCAAAGACCAATTCATTGTTTTACTGAGGACAAATTCAGACTCATTTACCAAATAAACAACCATAAAAACAGAACTTACTTTCTGGCCACGGATCTGGCCTCTGAGTCGGCATCATGTATCCCTTTCTTGATGGTCTCCGTCAGAACAGTCACGTGCCTGGTGGGATAGTAGGGAAACATGACAGAGACCACTTCAGGTACAGCAGCCAGGAAACCACAACTATACCAATGGAGAGGACACACAGACTTCCTCATTTCCCCCCCTCCCCAAGACTTCTGTTTACACTCCTTTCTTCTCTCTCTCTTCCTCTACTATCCCACAGCTCTTCTGCTATCCTCCACTCTCCTTCTCCACGGGTGGAAAGTGACCACATAGCACGCTTTCGACATGCTTTTTAAACTCTCTGCTGGGTTGTCGTGGCAACCACAGGGGATGCTTCGTAGAGAGTCTTATGGTGATGGCTCACCCCAGGCCTCCAGAATCATCAATTTAACTAGCAAAGACCAGGGATCATCAGTCGCCCAGTCAGCCAACACCCAACTACTTACGGTAAATGTCACACGCCGAAGAGGAGAAAAGAGGAGAGAGAAGGAGAGGAGAGAGGGAATTCTAAAGTACAGCAGCCACCCCTCTCTACACAAACACAAACACTGGCTGAGATCCTGTGCAGAGTAGCAGTTTAAAAGCATGCTAAAGTCTGTTGTTAGTGTTTATGTCCTGTATTAGCATGCAGAGTGTATCCTGAAAGGGTGTGTGCTTACCTCTCCAGTGTGTGCGTCTGCCACTCTAGTAATAACAACTCTAAGAACTCATAACTGCGCCTGGAGAGGGAAGACATGAGAGTTAACACATTTATAAGGGAAACCTCAGGAAAAAGGTCGCAGATTTTCACACCGAATAATTTCAAATTTCAAAGGATCTTTGAGTGTCTTTACCTTCTGACGGCCACTGATTTGGACAGGCAGTTACTAGTGATGATGGGGATGAGACGTGAGTAGTGTGTGTGCTGGAAGAGAAGAGGAGGTCCCAGAGGTCTTCAAATACAGGTTATTTCACACCTCCCAGTGTCTTAACAACACATAACATTTCACAACCAGATATCAGTCATACTGAGTAATAAATACATCAGGAAATTATTTATTTTCTGTTTGTTACAGTAGCTAATGCATGAATCCCACTCCTCCAATGTGATTCAACCTCTGACGTACAGTATATGACTGACTGTATATACAGTTTGTGTGTGTGCAGGACTCACCCTGAGGATGAGCCGTATGGCTGCCATCCCAGACGTGGCCATGACCTTGGCACTGTTGGGCACCAGGTTGAGCAGTGTGGGCATTAGCGTCTCTGCACAGTGGTCAAACTTGTTGCCCATTAACGTGGACAGGTATCTGAAGAGGGGAGGGGAGAGATTGAACACATACAGCAAATCAATATCAATCAAAGTTGTTAAACCTCCTCAAACATTTGATTTAATGTTCTAGACTAATGTACTGGAACTTATACTGAACAAATATATAAATGCAACATGCAACATTTTCAAAGATTTTGCTGAGTTACAGTTCATAAATGTATAAGAAAATCAGTCAATTGAAATAAATGAATTAGGCCCTAATCTATGGATTTCACATGACTGGGCGCAGCCATGGGTGGGCCTGGGAGGGCATAGGCCCACCCACTTGGGAGCCAGGCCGATCCACTGGGGAGCCAGGCCCAGCCAATCAGAATGAGTTTTTCCCTACAAAAGGGCTTTATTATAGACAGAAATACTCCTCAGCACCCCACCGGATGTGGAGGTCCTGGGCTTGCGTGGTTACACGTGATCTGCGGTTGTGAGGCCAGTTTGACGTATTGCCAAATTCTCTAAAACGACGTTGGAGGCGGCTTATGGTAGAGAAATTTACATTCAATTCTCTGGCAACAGCTCTGGTGGGAATTCCTGCAGTCAGCATGCCAATTGCACGCTCCCTCAAAACTTGAGACAACTGTGGCATTGTTTTGTGTGACAAAACTGCACATGTTAGAGTGGCCTTTTATTGTCCCCAGCACAAGGTGCACCTGTGTAATGTCAGGTGGATGGATTATCTTGACAAAGGATTAAATGCTCACTAACAGGGATGTAAACAAATTTGTGCCCAAAATTCGAGATGAATAAGCTTTTTGTGTGTATGGAAAATGTCTGGGATTTGTTATTTCATCTAATGAAACATGGGACCAACACTTTACATGTTGCGTTTATATTTTTGTTCAGTGTAGATATGGAGCAGAAGTAGTAGCAGCCTACAAGTTGTCCAGACTCAGAGTTGTTCATTGTCAGTCAGTGACGTGCTCCTAATGTGGTAGTGATGAGGTGCAACAGAGTCAAGATACACATTTAAAGATCATCAGGTTGATGGATTTACAGTCTAGGCCAGGTGGGACGAGGAGCTTCCCTCCCTCCCTTTAATATCACCACTTTACTGTGGCATTTCAATGAGCTGCTACATCTCTAACCACTGTCTCTGGTCAACCTTACTCAACTGGTCTGAGATAGCAGCTTTTGGAACAGATCGTTTTAACAGTGTAGCTAACTCTACTTAGCATAGAAGTGGAAGAGAGAGGTTGAAAGCTGGTTTGCGTGTCTGCAGGTCCTTACCCCAGTGTGATGCAGGCCTCTCGTACCACCTGAGACCTCAGGTCTTTAGCCGAAAGCTTCAGAGGGGCCTCCAGTAGACGGAGCTGCTGAGGGAAACTATCATACTCCATCGCTCCAGCTAGGAGCAGAGAACGCACCTTCTTCAGCTAGACAGAGGAAGCACAAACTATTACGCTACAACCGTAGTTTCTGACTGTTTATAGGCTACTACTTTCAACACCAGAATATACAGTACAAGGTGCTGAGATGGTCATGCAGCTATTGATCATTAGTGGTTGCGGTCCTTACAGCGATGACTCGGTGCTCCCAGTCGTTTTTGTCGTCAGACAGAACCTCCCGGACCTTGGAGAGGTTGTCCTCCATCTCTCTGTTGGAATGGATCTGGAGAGGAGTGAAGAGACAGGAGTCAGACTGGGGTTGATGGCAATTTATATTGTAAACACACACACAGAGCACCCTTATCTGTGCATGTTACCTGGATAGAAGGAACCTCTTCAAAAGCCTTGATGAAGTCCTCCTCATCTACTGCTCCTGCAGCAGCATCTTTAGCAGAGATCTTGCCGGGTCCGGTGGCAGAGCTGGGCCTGCGGACAGAAGCTGGAGCTACAGTCCTCCTCCCACTGGGGGGCGCCTTGGAGGACGATACGGAGGAGGAGGACCTGCCCCCATCCACAGAGTCCTCATCCTCAAAGTTCTTATCTGACAGGGGAGTGAGAAGAGGAGTGGCGTTAATCCAGTTTGAAGTCATTTCATCTCTGCATTGGTGACCACCATGTTCATTAGGACACACCTTATGGTTACAAAAACAAGCATTTTATATTGGACAGCTAGCCTAGTATGTTCCAGTTTCACTTTTGTTCTTATGTTTCCTGCCTACTAAGCTCGACCCTGTTGTTTTGGGTGAGAGAGTGCATGCCTGAACCCACCCATCTGCCGTGCTGGGTGTAGCTAGCTCATTTAATCTGGATTGTCAATGTTACATGAATACAAGCCGTTCTGTCACCTCTCCAGTTTTCCGGTTCACACAAGGGATTATGAATGAAGGGAAAATATGATCCTGGAGAGATGCCTTGAGCCAGCATTATTTTACAGAAATGCTCTGTGAGAGAACGGTAATGTACTCCTTAGAAGGAAGACAAACTGCACACGATAAAAAAAAAAAATTCTTAGGAGGGATTCATACAATAAAAATAGGTCATCAAAGCCTGTTCAAATCAAAGGTTGTGTCCCTATCACTATAGTAACGTTAGTGATAATTATGAAAGACACCAAAACAAGACACCATTCAGACAACAAGACCAATATCTCCATAAACAAAGCAACAGGCAGGCACACAGAGAGAAACGCCCCGTTCACAGCTCAGCCTTCCCCCACTCATCCTCCTCTCACAACCCTCCATTCCTCCACCAGCCTGCTAACCTGTAATTACCATGAAAGCAGTATATATCCACTAACACAGAGAGAGAGAGAGAGAGAGAGAGAGAGGAGAGAGAGAGAGAGGGAGAGACAGAGAGAGACAGAGAGAGAGACAGAGAGAGAGAGAAGAATGAGAAAGGCAGATAAATTGGGGAAAAGAGAGGAGGAAAATATAGGGCGAGGTGTCGGTAGGTAGTTTGAGAGGAATAGAGGGAGAGAGAGAAACATACCACGTGAAGAGAAGAAGATAATATATAATAAATAGCATCAGGTTCTTACAGGCACAGATCTTCTTACACACCAGCTTCCTTAGCATCATGATCTATAGCACGCGCGCTAAACCATTTCCTCACCACGCTTCTGCATCAACAGTGTGTGTGTGTGTGTCTGCGTGACGCGTGCCTTGGTGAGGGTGCGTGTGCAGCTCTGTGATGACACAGTGCTAGACCAGCTTCCCCCTTAAGCCCTTCTGTCCAAGGGTTAGCTGTCAAACACAGCGGGGTGTGTGTGTGTGTGGGTGTAGCATGAAGATGCTTGCAGCTCCTGCATTGCCAGCATGGTGTGACATGTCCTTAGGGACACTGGCTGTCCACCACAGAGGGAGGGGAGGGGCCAGCACGTGTGATGTCACCTCTGATCAGTCATTGTTTATTCAGGGTGTTGGTGGAGGAGAAAACAAAACCAAAGGAACCTAGCCTGGTGGTCATTGGCTTAGGACATAGTCCCACTACTGTTATTTACACTGCATTATGCATATTCATTAAATATATGTATGAATATGTATGTAAATTCATAAATATTTTTACTGTGTTTGGCGCCGCACGGCGCACCATAACACTAGCAGACCTCAACATTGTGTCGGTTTTATTTTCCCCCGGAAACCTGTTTAGCATGCTGTGAAACTCTCAGTGAAAACGGTCACTAGCTCACCCACCCAGAGATAAGAAAGCTTTTGTTCCAACATAACAAAAGCATAAAATCTGTTCTGCATTGCCTCATGCAAGCTGCTGAATGTATACATGGTTTGCCTTGAGTCTTCCTGCTCTAGCATCATCTACCTTTTCTTTATATACAGGAAGGTGTAAAACATAAAGCACATACTGGTATTAGAAAACATCCCTCATGTTTGTATGCATACTCACACAGCAATGCTTTATTACATTGATTAAGAGTAGACACTAGTTATGGCCCCCGGGCTCTCTAGCTCTCATCACCGCCGTAGTGTTAGTTATTTATGTGTGGAGTGTGGGGGCTAGCATTATCAGTGAGAAAATAGTCAATACAGTGAGGACTGTGGTTAGCATTATAGTACCAAAGAAACAGGGAGGGGACTGCAGCCTGTGAAAAGGCTCATCCAACAACACCCATCTTATTGATGGCACACCTTCCATTTGCTTTCCACTGAGGCTAGCAGCATTACGATACCAGAGAGACAGGGAGGCGACTGCAGCATGTGGGATGGCTCAATACTTTACTAGGAGTAAATGTAACATTTATCCAACAGCATCCATCTCATTGATTGAACACCTTCAATCAGTTTTTCACTGATCGTTAAATGACGTTGAGAGAGTTTTAGACATAGAGATAGATGGAACTGTTTTATAATCTATGGTCTTAGAGTACTGAAAGAATAGCCTGAGACAAACTCCATGATTACGTTCAGAGAATCTGAGCACAAGACGTATGAGTCAACCCTCCCAAATACCATCTCTAAACAGAGACTATTTACTGGAACATCTTTAGTGAAAGAGCAAAACACGATCATGCATTTAGTTTATTGATTGTAGCAGTTACAGCAGCACTTAATCAAACACTGACACAAAAATGTCGAGCTGATTTATACACACATAGGGAGCCATTAACACAGTGGGCGGGCGGACGGACACACCCATTCTCTCTGGGGGCAGTAGTTAGGTCGTTAGCTGTGTGTCTGTAGCCTGTTGGAGAGCAGGGGTCGTGTTAGTAATCCACATCATCATCTAACTCCATGAGATCATGCCTGCTCTGCCCTCAGCCTGCTCTGCCCTCAGCCTGCTCTGCCTAGTGATATGATTACTGTAAGCTGGACTGTCCTGTTCTGCATGTAGGCTACTATGTATTATATGACCTATTTCCTTGAGCTGAATCGTCAAAGTTATGGACACTGGTCAATGACTGTAGGTCAATGACTGTATGGAGGATTGGTAGGGAGAGACAGGTAAGACCATCAGTGACTTGTCATTGATGATAGAGGAGGTATAATGATAGAGGAGGTATAATATGGGTGATGTCATGGAGAGGTTGTCCTCTCTGGCTCCCTCTGCTGGTGGAGGTGAAACTGCATTGTCTGCCCCATAGAGACATTCACATCATTGTTTGGCCCTATCTAGTTCATGGGAAGTTGTCTGACTGTAGTCTGCATCCTTCAGGAAGTTGTCCGACTGTAGTCTGCATCCCTCAGGAAGTTGTCCGACTGTAGTCTGCATCCTTCAGGAAGTTCAACAGTTCAAGTGTCCCCCGGCCACCACAGATTCTCTCTACTAAACTAAAACCACCCCAACACTGCAGGGCTGCCACTGGCCGCATTCTGGCTGCTGCTGGAGTTGCTCTATAAAACAATATTATGCAGGAAACAGCTAGCTAGAGCTAGACAAGTAGATGGAAGAGAAAAGAAGCCAGACGTGACAGCTCAGGAGGACCAATATAGGTCAGTACTCAGGCTTCAGGAATGTTACTGAAACGATGCACTGTACTGCCAAACTCAAAGATCATGGAGAGAACAGAGAAACAAAAATGGATGGGTGGATGGATGGGTGGATGGATGGAGAGGATGTCTGTGCCTCTGGGGAACAGGAACAGAACAGCAACTTACTGGGACTGTCAAATACTGAGCATTTCTCAGTATATGGAATATCATCAAGGGTCATTATTGCTGTTTCAGGATTACTATAAGGACAAACACTTAGTAACAAAACCACCATCCAAATTTACTAAGGGAGAATGCCATTAACAGAGTACACACTACACTACCTAATCTGTCCACTAGATGCTGAAGCACCCTGTGTGCTGCACAGGTTGGCATTTATTGGGATGACTTACGTTCTGGAGGCAGCCCTGCAGGGTAGTCACTAGCTGGCACAGCCACAAAGTTATAAAATCTGCTAACCACATGCCTAACCTTAAATTAAAGGTAACATTCACCCAAATGTAATGTTATATTGTTTTTGTGCATCTCTGAGCAATGTTATATTGTTTCCCGGGGTACATTTATTTTGGTGTATCTGAGCTACTGCCGTTCAAGCAGGCAGACATTTTGGCTGGTATGACGCAGCATTGCAATAAAGCCGCTCTCACTACACTGGAAGTTAATAGGAATGTGCCTTTTAAATCACAAAATCATCTATTATACATTTCAATACTGGTCAATGACATAACGTGGGAGGTTGTCTTCTCTTGAATGAGCCATTGATCATATTTCTGCGATATTCCTACCTCGAGAAATGTGTAATTTAACAGAGGGGCCACCACATTTCTCCTATTTGTCTGCCTCTCCAGTCCAGGATGCATTGCATGGTGCCGTTGCATGGCCGTTGCGAATGTCAGATTCCACTCTGCGAGGCACATCAATCTGCAGGTTGAACATAGTGAGATTGTAGACTCCTAAATTGATAGTGCAGTTTGTTTAGGCGATTTCACAGCTAACTAGGTACTTCATATGCTGATATTGACTTTGGTATTACTGTATGTAGCTATGTTTGCTAGCTAGCTAGCTAGCCAGCCAGCCCATAGAGAATGCATTGCATTGTGGGTTTTGTAGTCGACTTGATCTGCAACAGATTTCCACAATGTTTTTCACAGGTTGCTACCAACCTTATCATAATGACAAAATGAAAAATTTGTTCACAAAAAATATTGTTCTCACATATTACTGTTATTTAGCATTGTAAATTATAGGAATTAGTGGTTTGGGGTGGATTTTTCCTTTAAGACCAATTTTGACTTTGAATCTGGCCCATCTAGTGGAAATTGCTCAGCTCTGCCTCTAGGACAAGATTCATCCCAATAAACCTGCGTGTGCTGCATGCTCCAGTGACTGCAGAGCAGACGAGAGTCCACATCCAGCAGCATCCTAACTGCGTGGCAGGCAGCACTGGTAATCCCTGGGACACAGATTTATATTTGGGGGTTAAGGCGATGCTTTTCTCATGTCCGTTCTAAGCTGCAGAGTGAGAAAGAAGGGACTCTGACAAAGTATTTTCTTTAGTTCCTTCCAGGCAGGTTTCTCCTGTCCTGTTCTGACTGATTCAGGCTCCAGGTGTTCTGAGGACCCAGCTAATCTGGGGGGAGTTAGCCTGGTCCCAGATCTGTTTGTGCAATCTTGGCATGACAATGGCCAAGGGAGTTGGCTAAACAGGACAAACAGATCTGGGACCATGCTAAGGCTGGGGGGGGTGGAAGAGCATTGCTGTGCTGGTTTTCAACAACTCATTCCTCCAGCACTGTCCTGGTCTGTCTGTCTGTGAGCCTGTCACTCTAGTCAGCAGTTTACATAAATCGGAGGGCTTCAGGCTAATGTTCAGCACAATGTCATTACAGTGATCTCTCATTATGATGATGCCTATAAGAGCAAACAGGGACCGCTCAGACAAAACACCATCCCCATCCCTCACTCACTCTGAGACACACATGCATACGCACGCACACACACACACACACACACACACACACACACACACACACACACACACACACACACACACACACACACACACACACACACGCCCATTTACCTCACACGGCACTGAATAATAATAACCATTACTAAAGCATTTGACAATGTTCTGCTTCTGCTTCCCTATAATCCATAAGGGATTTAAATCCATGTGAATGTAACGTTGGGAGAAGGAGAGGAAGAGAGAAAGAGAGCTCATGCTTACTTGGTATTGTTCCTTGACAGCCAGCTATGGGAGGAGTTCCCTGTTGCCATGGTAAAATAAACATAGAAAAGGCTTAAGTGGCAGATCAGGTTCAAGACTCTCTTCCCATTGGTTGCTCATGTGTCAAGGAGGGTCAAAGTTCATATACCTGGTCAATCACCTAATGACAGAGCAGAGGAAGAATGACTTGTGTTTTCCACACAAGCTCTTCAGACTTTTAAATGAGAGATCTCTGATTACTGAATGTAGGATGAAACACTGATCTTCCCACAGTGCTTGAAAGGCTCTGTTAATTAAAATTGATCTGCTTTGCTACGTAATAAGACAGCCAACAAAGCACAAATATTTTACACACAGAGGGGAAAGTGTGTCCCTAATGAGCCACCGTACCAGTGGGATCTCTCATACTTTACGTGTAGTGGTGATTGGCTTCATGGTTGCCAGGGTGAGCAGACAGGAATCAGAGACTGAAAATGAGCAAAGAGTGTTAGGTAAACGTTGAGTGTTGTAAACAAAGGCAAGATTGTGTACTTTATGGCTCTCACCATAAAGTACTACATCCCCCTCTGGTAAAGGCAAAACAAAGTGAAAGCCTCTGGCATCAAGTGTACTGTCATGAGTTAGACCTAACCTCTTCATCAGAGTGTGAGAGGACAGAGGCATCACAGAGGTAGACAGAGACTAGGGATTCAGAACAGAGCCAGCAGCAGCATCCTAACAGTGAAGGTCAGTGAAAGTACTTCAGTCAGACACTTAGTTATTGTTCGGATTTTTCATTATTTAGCCCTCCGAAAAGGCTCACCAGGAAGCACACAATGTCATGACTCGTGTTTTGTCCTTAATTTATTTAAATCAAATGACCACAGTCATAAACTGATCATGAGACCGGTTTGAATGTCGTAGGGAGATTTGTGCTGGGGCGAAAAGCAATGGGAAATGTCAATACGTGAGACTGTGTTAGCATATAGTCAAGGGGTCACCTTAGCTTTCCAGCTTTCACTGAGGCTAGCAGCATTACGATACAGAGAGGCAGGGAGGCGACTGCAGCATGTGGGATGGCTCAATACTTTACTAGGAGTAAATGTAACATTTATCCAACAGCATCCATCTCATTGATTGAACACCTTCAATCAGTTTTTCACTGATCGTTAAATGACGTTGAGAGGTTTTAGACATAGAGATAGATGGAACTGTTTTATAATCTATGGTCTTAGAGTACTGAAAGAATAGCCTGAGACAAACTCCATGATTACGTTCAGAGAATCTGAGCACAAGACGTATGAGTCAACCCTCCCAAATACCATCTCTAAACAGAGACTATTTACTGGAACATCTTTAGTGAAAGAGCAAAACACGATCATGCATTTAGTTTATTGATTGTAGCAGTTACAGCAGCACTTAATCAAACACTGACACAAAAATGTCGAGCTGATTTATACACACATAGGGAGCCATTAACACAGTGGGCGGGCGGACGGACACACCCATTCTCTCTGGGGGCAGTAGTTAGGTCGTTAGCTGTGTGTCTGTAGCCTGTTGGAGAGCAGGGGTCGTGTTAGTAATCCACATCATCATCTAACTCCATGAGATCATGCCTGCTCTGCCCTCAGCCTGCTCTGCCCTCAGCCTGCTCTGCCTAGTGATATGATTACTGTAAGCTGGACTGTCCTGTTCTGCATGTAGGCTACTATGTATTATATGACCTATTTCCTTGAGCTGAATCGTCAAAGTTATGGACACTGGTCAATGACTGTAGGTCAATGACTGTATGGAGGATTGGTAGGGAGAGACAGGTAAGACCATCAGTGACTTGTCATTGATGATAGAGGAGGTATAATGATAGAGGAGGTATAATATGGTTGATGTCATGGAGAGGTTGTCCTCTCTGGCTCCCTCTGCTGGTGGAGGTGAAACTGCATTGTCTGCCCCATAGAGACATTCACATCATTGTTTGGCCCTATCTAGTTCATGGGAAGTTGTCTGACTGTAGTCTGCATCCTTCAGGAAGTTGTCCGACTGTAGTCTGCATCCCTCAGGAAGTTGTCCGACTGTAGTCTGCATCCTTCAGGAAGTTCAACAGTTCAAGTGTCCCCCGGCCACCACAGATTCTCTCTACTAAACTAAAACCACCCCAACACTGCAGGGCTGCCACTGGCCGCATTCTGGCTGCTGCTGGAGTTGCTCTATAAAACAATATTATGCTGGAAACAGCTAGCTAGAGCTAGACAAGTAGATGGAAGAGAAAAGAAGCCAGACGTGACAGCTCAGGAGGACCAATATAGGTCAGTACTCAGGCTTCAGGAATGTTACTGAAACGATGCACTGTACTGCCAAACTCAAAGATCATGGAGAGAACAGAGAAACAAAAATGGATGGGTGGATGGATGGGTGGATGGATGGAGAGGATGTCTGTGCCTCTGGGGAACAGGAACAGAACAGCAACTTACTGGGACTGTCAAATACTGAGCATTTCTCAGTATATGGAATATCATCAAGGGTCATTATTGCTGTTTCAGGATTACTATAAGGACAAACACTTAGTAACAAAA